ATAAGTTTGAATTTGGTAGGGTACATTCGTTCAGAATCCGTCCAATTAAACATTTGTTGTATTAACATATATCTTTTATCATTTGTGGTATTAGTGTTTTTATTTTTTCAACTTGATATATGAATGCATTATATTATTTTATATCACAACATGTTAATAATAACTCTCGAGATCAAAAAATTTGAATTTATTGCTAGAATATATAAAATATTATACTTAAAATTTATATAAAATATAAAATATTGTACTTAAAATTTAAATATTATACTTAAAATTTAAATATATGCCTAATTATGAAATAAGGTCCCATTTTTTCCCTTTCATGTAACGAAATATATCAGGAAATATATCATACTTATGGAACAAAATATATCATATCGTATATAAGGAAATATATAAGGAAATATATAAGGAAATATATTAATGCTATCTTCATCATACTTTAGCCAATCCGCGGTTCATATATATCATCATATCATCATATATATCATATCATATATCATATATCGTATCATATATTTATATCAATTTATATCAATGGCATCAATGGCATGTTATGTAATTATTCTAGTAAACTAAGGTCTTTTACTTAGAAGTTGTGAGAAGGCTTGTGGAGTTGCCACGTAGGAAATGACATGCATGTAATAAACACATGAACTAAAGGTTTCTTTACAAAAGTGCTCCTCAAATAATAAGAAGGGGATAAACATAAATAGCAACTAGAAACTACTTATATTTTCAAAAGAAAAGAAAAAACGAGTAGAAACCATTATTTTAGTAATGCTGTTTTATAAATTGTATCATCAGTAATCGAAAAAAAGAAAGTCCACTTCTACAACAAAAACTGCATTGATTACAAAAATTTATAGAAAAATAAAATAAAAGATGTTTGTTGCCTAACAAATTCGTTACTATTAAACATAGAGAACATGATTAAAGTGTTGTAACTAAATCTGATTATCCCAATTTGTCGACAAATCAAATAGCGAGTCAGAAATGAAAACTGACACGTGTCCCTCTCCTTAAAAGACTTTTGACGATTTCACCGTTACCCCTCTAATCCTATCTCTCTTTCTCCCTCGTAAAATCATCTCCACCCCTAAACTGAGATTCTTCTCCCACAGTTTTCCCGTCGTTTTCTCTCGATTTCACGAAACCCATTCTCTCTTTCATTCCCTTAACCAGAAAGGAAGAAACTTGCTGCAGCGTTTACATTCCAATTCGAAAGCTTTAAGATTTCCCCAAACTAAAAAAAAAGAAGATCTTTGTTCATTTCCCGGCGAGGGTTAGCTTTGATTCTTCGTGTGCAAGAAAGGGTTTCTCTGGTTTATCCATTCGGATCAGAAAGTCTTCGTCTTTATCATTTCTAATTTAGGTTTCTGAAAACCCTAATTTCATTCATTCTTTCTGTTACCAATTCGTTGTTTAATACGTCTCTTAGGGTTTCTTATTACTTTCTAAACAAAGGAAAGCTTTGATAATATTTCAGTGCCTATTATTTTTTTTCTGCTGCTATCTGAAATCAAAGAGTCTCCTTTCTCCTTAGATCTAATCATAAAGAACATAGCTTTTGTCCGGATCTGATCTTGGTTACACCTTTTTAGGGATTCTGTACAAAGTGATTTTAGGTTTTGAAGTTAGGTTTTTATAGGAATGGCGTTAAATTTTTCACATAGGCATTTTTCTTCCCATGTATCTGAGGAATCAATGAAGATAGCCAATGGTTATCTTGCTGATGGGCTTTCTGAGAGGAATGGTGATGGTTTTAACCAGTCTTGGTGTTCAAGTATTGATAAAGGTGATTGCTTTGTTGACTATGGGAGGAATGCTGGAGATTCAGCTTCTGTTGACATACTTGATGTTTTGCCATCTGATCCGTTTGGTATGGATATCAACAATACTTTCACCGCTATTACTGGATGGCTTGAGGATCTGGAGGTTGATTGTAGCCAATATGGGAGAGATGAGATTTGGGTTGGTGATGGGAGCCATCATCAGCTCTTTGCTGGGTTGAGTTTTATCTGGAACAATGCAATGCGGTTTCAGGAGTTTCCAGAGAGCAATGTGTACAGTAATGGGTCGGGGTTATTCCATGGATCTAGTAGTGTGGGTGAGGTTGGAGAAAGCAGTGGTCGCTGCACCACTAATGATGGAGGTGAGAATGCACACGTTCATCCGGCGTTTGGGTTTTGTCTTTATCACTTGGGAGTGAAGGATCTTCTTTCAGCGAGTATGGTTTGCAAGTCTCTGCATACGACTGTCTTTGATGACTCACTACTATGGAAACATATCCACATTTCTCAACCGTTGAATGAGAAGATCACAGATGAGACTCTTCTGCAGTTAACCGAGAGGGCTCAGGGCACTATGCAGTGTCTGAGACTCATAGATTGCTCGAGAATTACAGATGATTGTCTTAAGCAGGTCGTGGAGTGCAACCCACAAGTTGTTAAGGTGAGTGTTAACTAAGTCTGTAAGCTTTTTTATATATTATTTAAGCCTAATATTATTTTGTGATTGGCAGCTTGGCGTGTCTGGATGCACAAGGATCACTATCGATGGTGTTTTGAGCATCTTGAGAGATCTCAAGTCTGTAGGGAAGCTTCAAGTGAAGCAGTTGGAGATCGGTGGCATCTTTGGAGTTACTAAAGATCACTACGATGAATTGTTTGGTTTGTTAGACGTTGACAATAACGTGGAGCAGTCTATACAGAAGCCGCGTTTTTACCATAGAGGAGACTCCTCATGTGTGTCTTGCGATGATGATGACCGGGTGCTAGATATTGAGATGTGCCCAAAATGTCAGAACGCTAGGCTTGTGTATGACTGTCCAGCAGAAGATTGTAAAGGGAAGGAGGAGTGTCGTGCTTGTTCTCTTTGCATACAGAGGTGTTTTCAGTGTGGTAGATGCATCAATGACAGTGAATATGAAGAGACGTTTTGTCTGGAGTTTTTGTGCGCTGATTGTTCGAAGCAGTCCCCTAAGTTACCTCTTGAGGTGGAAAATTCCATCTGAGCCTTTCTTTTGACAGTGAACTGAATGGCCCAGATCTTTATGGGTATGGTGTAGATTGTGGGGAATGTATGGATGTAGGTGCCATAGTATCAGATGTAGGTGTCTGTACATATATTAATATGTTTATTTTGGACTGAGAAAAGTCAGAATCAAAAGTAAAGAATCATCAAATAGGAATACAGAAGAAAGAAGCAGAGTAGTTGTGGTGGGTGAAGACTACAAAAGAAGAGTTTGTCATGGCATAGTTAGAAAGATTAGAAAGACTGCACGAGATGGGTCTTTCTTATTCTAATAAAAGTTAGAAAGAGGTAGAGTAGTGTGATGAAGGACGACAAGGTCGGTGTATGCTATTTTGATGAGTGTGGCTTAATTGGTTTGGAGAAGAAAGAGTTCAGGATAAAGAAAAAGATTAGAAAGAGTCTCAGTAGTGTGATTTGTCATCTGCTTTTGTGGGTTGGAGTTGGTGGAGACTTAGAGAAGAACTCGAGAAGAGTCATTCCTACTCTGCTATAAGTTAGAAAGAGGTAAGAGTAGTGTGATGAAGAATAGGTTGGTGTCTGTCATCTTGATGAGTGGGGAGAAATTGGTTTTGAGAAGAGTTCAGGCAAAAACAAGATTATGTAAAAGGAAAAGGCAAGAAACAGTCTCAGAAGTTTGATTTGTATTTTTTGTGGGTTGGAGTTCGGAGTTGGAGACTTAGAGAAGAACGCGAGAAGAGTCTTTCCTACTCTGCTATAAGTTATAAAGAGAGTGTAATGAAGAACAGGTTGGCGTCAGCCATCTTGATGAGTGAGGCTTAATTGGTTTTGAGAAAGTTCATATTAAAGAACAAAGAGTATGTAAAAAGAAAAGCCAAGAAAGAGTCTCAGTAGTGTGATTTGTCATCTGCTTTGGTGGGTAGGAGTTCGTTGTTGGAAACTTGGAGAAGAACACGAGAAGAGTCGTTCCAACTTCCAACTCTGCTATAAGTTAGAGAGAGGTAGAGTGTGATGAAGGACAAGGTCGGCGTCTGCTATCTTTATGAGTGTGGCTTAATCGGTTTTGAGAAAGTTCAGGATAAAGAAAAAGATTATGTAAGAAAAGCCAAGAAAGAGTCTCAGTAGTTTGATTTGTTGTCTACTTTAGTTGGTTTGAGTTTGGATTTGGAGACTTGAGGAGTTTGATTGCTGAAGCCATAAAAGGAAGACAATGAGTTCTACATGCGGATTAAGAACCAGATGGTCATTAGTTCTGAAGAAGTTAGTCTGCAGTCTTGATATAGATCATAAACTCCTTTTAAATGAAGGTAAATTTGCATATATTCATAGATATGATACCTGGTCTCTTAGACATATGCTTCTTAAACATGATACTGATCCCAGGACTGTTTTTTCTGTCAGGTGTGACACTTAGGTGAATGGAGATCATTTTCAACTATCTTAGAAACCATTTCCTTGCAATAACTACTTTCGCTTTCATCTTTGTTGAACAATTGTTATAAAGATTTATTTTGGATTTTGACATCTATGTGTTGTAAAACTAAATAAAAAGATTGTTGTAACTTTGGATTATTTCATGTCAATGCAACTCAATAAACAAGTTAATACTAAGCTATGTTGAGTTAACAGCTGGGATTGTTTAAGCGTGGTTGCGAAAATAAGAAAGTATATATCTGTATCATCTTATATGATGAGTCTTCTTCCTTGGAGAAAAGATGATAACAATACATCTCCAACGTCACCGGAGAGAACCATGATGATCATCACCAGTCGAACATAGACATCATGAATAATCTTCAACCTGGTGTCTTGTACTGAAGAATGAGATAAGAAACACAAGAACTACCAAAAGTAAGATTTTTTTCTATGGTACATTTCATCTTTAGATTGTGTTATTATTGTCAGGGGTCGATAGACTTTTACTGAAATCAATATATGTTTTGGTTTGTAAGACATAATGGTCAATGCAAGGCCAGGGGACAGACACAAACGAAAAACTGATGACTTTTGAACAAACGCAACAACAAAGCTACATGATTCTCACACAATCCGGAAAGAAGAAAAATAGAAAACAACATAGGTGAATAAAAGATTCACTTGACTTTCAAGAACTTGAGAAAAGGAAAACACTGGTTGAGCTTGAACAAGAGGCTTGTTGTATTACTACTCTTCTTCATCCCATTCATCGTTCTTGTATGAGACAAGGGTGTCCACTTTGTGAATCTGCAAATAAGCAGTTCGAAAACCAATGCGGTTGGTTAATTAACCTTTCAAAGTGAACGTAGTCAGGTTTCTTACTCCTTGATATTCTTTGTCTTACCTTGGTATCAAAAGCGTGTAGCTTAACCATCTGTGGATTAGCAATAAGTTTCGGATCACTTTCCACCCATGTAAACGGAACAGCCACATCCGTGTCCGTATACGCCAACACATCAAACACACCTAAACGCAACCACAACGAGAAAATCAGACACACAAAATAATCACTTAGTTTTCTAATGAGTTTTGGTGGCTCATCACTTACATGGTTCATCAAGACAAGGCAAGTAAGTAATACTGGAAGCAACCTGTCTCATAATAGCTTGAATCTCCCTCATAATCTCCTTATCACTCTTCTCCCTCGACACACTATGCAAATCAAAATCAAAATCAAGATTCATATTCTGTAAATCAAGAACTGTACCAACATTTCAAAAAGAGAACTAACTAACCCTTTCTCAACAACTTCAGAATCAGTCTCAACACGAAAATTCCACCTCTCCAAGACCTCACCAGTAGCTTTACTCATTATCACCAACACTACTCTCTGCAACTTCCCAGCTTCAAGCCACTCTTTTACAACAATAATCTCAAACAAATATCAGTCTCTGAAGATAAATCATCATACACTACAAAGAAATAAAGAAATGATCTTTTTTTTTTTTACCGGAGATTTGAGAAGTGAGGTTTGATAAGAATGACTTGACGGATTCATCTTGAGTAAGCAACATTGGAAGACCATACTTCTTCACTTTCACAAAGCTTTCTTCTGGGTAAACTGCTCGATTGTACAGTATACTATACACCAAACAAAATCGATTCAATTTCTCGGAAAGCCCCAAAATTGAATCTGAAAACTGAAATCGATTCATTTCCTCACCTGTTGGCAGCGTAACAGAAGAACTCGCTGACGATGGCGGCGGATCCGTGGAGTGTGATGATGTCTTTAGCAGCAGCAGTTTTCGAAGCCATTTGAAGCGATTGCGAGACGATGATGATTCGACGAAGGATGTGTGATTTGAAATTCTGTGGAAGCAGATTAATTTTGGAAGCGTCGATTAGGGTTTTTGATGATTTTGATTGGATAAAAGAAAAACTCGAAAAAGAATGATATAAAAGGGAGCGTAACGGCTAGTAGTCTTATGTGGAAATGCACTTACAACGGCTACTTGTTTTAATTGTAGTACTTAAATGTTTTACTAAACCATTTTTGGAAACTAGCAATGATTTTTTTTTTGGTTATTAAGAAACAAACGAAAAAATGTTGATGTGAAAAATAGCCAACGAGATCAATCTAATAATGAGTGATACCCTGGATTGTGTTCGAGAAAAAAAAGGATCAATCTAATAATGAGAGTTTTGACTCAGGAAATGCAATGAGAGATTTGACTAAGGAAATTCAATGGTTTGATTCTAATAATGAGTTTGATGAACAAGCTTTTCACTTCATGGTTTACAAGGCTTCTGGGTGGTTCGATTAGTTCGGGTTATTCAGTTTAGATAGTTTGGTTTCACTTAAATTTTACTGAATTAACCGGAAATAAATTTTACTTAGGTTATGTATTTGGTTGGATAGGTTTTTAAAAATTATATCAAAATTTTTGATTTCGATTAGATTTTGGTTTAATTTTGCTAAAATTTTGGATAAAGTTAGTTAATTACTGTTACATTCGGTTGTTATGGCTATTTCAGTTAATTTGGTTCAAAATCTGGTTAATCTGAAGTAAGTTTTTTGGTATGGTTTGATTATAATTTTTTATTAAGAAAACCGAAATGATAGATTACCGAATCAAACCAAAAGCCGATTAAAAAAAACCTGCCGAATCGAACCGTACTCATAACCAAACTAACCAAACTTTTTGGTCTCATTCGGACAAAAGTTTTGGTCCCATTCGGACAAAAATCTATTGCCCAGTTTAAATCACTTTTAGTTTCACTAAAACATCAGAATGGGCCAATATTTGGGCCGAAATACCCAGTAAACAATTGTCTGCAACACTTAAACGACCCCGTTTCATCTTCAGTCTATCTCTCTATCTACCTATCATCATCCTTATCCTTTGAAGCTTCTCACTCTCGTGCCCTCCATGGCTACTCCTCTCTCTATCTCATCAAACTCTCTCCTCCTCTCCCGCCAATGCCACCGCCCCTCCTTCCCTTCCACCTCATTCAAAGGAAACGTCACCGTCTTAGCACCAAACCCATCTCAGATTCTCTCTCTAAAACTCCACCAAAACCGTAAAACCGGAAAACAACAGCAACTCGCAAGACCTCTCGTTGTCCTAAACCAAACCGCAGCAACTTCCTCAGAAGCTGTAAGTTCAGAGAGGTTCCGTCTCAATAACCTCGGACCACAACCTGGTTCGAGAAAGAGGGCGAAGAGAAAAGGTAGAGGTATCTCCGCGGGACAAGGAGCGAGTTGTGGGTTTGGTATGAGAGGACAGAAGTCACGGTCTGGTCCTGGGATCATGAGAGGTTTTGAAGGAGGACAAACTGCGCTTTATCGTCGTCTTCCGAAACTTAGAGGAATCGCTGGAGGTAATAAAAAGGTTTTTGCTGTTTTTGGTTTGTGGAAAGTATTGAAATGTTGTGTAGATGAAGTGTTCGATGAAATGTCTCAACGAGAAAGATGCTCTGTTTTAATGGTTTTGTTTTGGGTTTTTGCTATGTTAAAAAGTTATGGAACATTTTTTGTCTAAAAATTAAGTATTGAACTTTTGTGTAGACTAAGTGTTCGATGAAATGTCTCACCTAGAAAGAGGCTATGTTTAATGGTTTTGTTTTGGCATTTTTGCTTTGTTTGCTATGTTATAGTATCGAACATTTTTTTTTCCAACAAATTTTTTTTTGAAGTTCTGTGTAGACTAAAGTGTTTGATGAAATGTCTCACTTAGAAGAGGCTCTGTTTGATTCGGTGATGGTTATTGAAATTATATTCGGTTAGGCCATATACGTCTCGTAGATTACGTATGTAACTAAGAAACTGAGAACTGAGGCTCAAGTTTTGTAGTTAGTGTATAGAGATCCTTCTTGTTACCTGATGCACTAGTCGCGTTACTGTGTTGCTTTGAACAGGTATGCGTTCAGGATTACCCAAGTACGTACCAGTGAATCTCAAAGACATTGAGACAGCTGGGTTTGAAGATGGAGATGAAGTGTCTTTGGAGACTTTGAAGCAAAAGGGTTTGATCAATCCTTCAGGAAGGGAAAGGAAACTCCCTCTTAAGGTTTGTCTATCTAATAGAAAATTAATAATAATATTATACTGCTTTTTTCGAGATTAAAATAAAACGGTTTGGTTGGTATTGGGTTTTAGATTCTAGGTACCGGAGAACTTAGCGTGAAGCTCACTTTCAAAGCCCGTGCATTCTCAACAGCAGCAAAGGAGAAGCTTGAAGCTTCAGGTTGTACACTCACTGTGCTACCTGGAAGAAAGAAATGGGTCAAGCCATCTGTTGCTAAGAACCTCGCACGTGCAGATGAGTATTTTGCTAAGAAGAGAGCTGCTGCAGCTGAAGCAGCAGCTTCGGAACCTGCAGCTTCTCCTTAAACTTCTTCATTTTCAAGCTGTTTAATGTTGTAAAGCGGCAGAGATAACTTAGCTTTCTCTATGATAAGCGTTGCAATTCCTTTTCTCTCTTATGTATGGTGGAAATTTTTACATCTTGTTGCTTAATCATTATCAGAAAGATTTTGTAAAACTGTATGCATTATTTTTCAATCTCCAACAAAATGTTACAGAAAAGTCTGTTCCTTTTTCTACAACTAGGCACTAGTGTCAAGTTTATTTATTAAACGTCTACAGATAATTTGTGTTTATACGGTCCATTAAAGAGCCCAACTCCAGTGTATTGTTAGCTAAAAGCCCAATTAGGCCCATGATAACATGTATTCCAAAGTCTGCTTGCTGATGTGAGGTCTTTGTTTAATCTTTGTTGGAAAGTTTAATTTGTCTCACGACGATATCATTGGTTAGCTAGGTCCAGTTAATTTTCAGTTGACAAACAAATAAAACTAGTTCATTTTTAAATTAACACTTTATAAATTAATATATATTAATTTTTTTTATAAAACAATATAATTTTATAATTTCAAATTAAGTTTTTGGTTCAATTAATATATCAATAAATTAATAATATCTATAAACTAATAAAAAATATAGTTTTGATGTATTTCCAATATTATTAATTTATATAGATTTCATTGTAAATGGACCTCATGTAAATATGTATTTTGTATATTTCTGCATTTCAAGTTATTATCAGATTTTTTTTTTCTGATGACTTTTATGTATATTAACAAATTGATTTTAAGAACACCAATATCATCAATTAGTGGCTTACTGCTTATATTATTCGGAAAACCACCGCACATAACGCGTTTGTTTTGGAATAATCTTCGAATAAAGAACTATGAATAAAATTATTCGCAAGAGTACTTTTTCCACGTTAACCACTTACTATCATTCACAAGGCCTTTTAGTCTTTGTTTTTCATTCTTTTATCATGTCTCAATGTTCTTGGTCTTACTTATATAATTAAAATTCTAGATCTTCTGTTAAAAAATAAGCCAATACCAATTGTTCCACATGAAACATCCTTTATTCAAAAGTCCCATTTAAAAGTCCTACGTCATGGTGCTTATGCTTCAACGTCTCAACAATGATGTCATCACTGATCCATACCGTCCATCTTATTTAGTGGTTGACCATATCGACAGTTCAAAGTCCACACCGACGGGGGCCTATAAGAGTATCTTCATAACCAAAACAATTCTCAACATTATTGTTATTTTTCAGCTATAAAATTATTATTGATTTTGTGCCTAACATGAAGTTGGAGAAGAAAGAAGAACGCTGCGAAGAAGATAAGTACATAGGGAACTCGTCGATGGAAGTTGTACGTACCGTGACGGAGGAAGAGGTTGATGAGTTTTTCAAGATACTACGGAGACTGCACGTGGCGACACGGAAGGTTACGAGAGTTAACGGCGGTGAAGGTGAACGAGAGTTACCGTCTAAGAAGAGGAGACGGAGTGAGAGTCTTGGGTTGAGGAGCTCGTTGGATACTAACGGCGTTCAAGACGGAGAGTTAGATGGGATAAAGCGGGTCGGGTTACGGAATTTGGGTTTGGATCTGAACTGTTTACCGGAACCAGAAGCAGTTAAAAGTTAAAATGTAATCCTTCTTCAAGTTTTCCTCTTCTTCCAGTAACCTATTTTCAATACCTAAATATTTATTTTTAGAAACTCTATTTTAAAAGGTACTAAAATGAAGTTATGGTTCTTCCAATGATCTATGACGTCGTGCAAACGATTAATCATATAACGATGAATCATATACACAATTATGTGAAACAAAAATAGTATATAAATGATTTTAGAATAATGTTTCCTGTATCATATCAATAGGTTCAATATAACAATAGATATAAGTTTATATTATCTTTAAGAACTTTGGCATTGGCTTTTGGTAGTGAGCATAAATGATAAAAGGCTGCCAAGTCTTTGTTTGTTGTAAAATTGTAACATTGTTCCATTTACTAAGTTTAGTATACACCATTTTTGTTACGAAAGTCAATAAAAGTATGCAACTCAATTATTTAAGAGGCGGATTCTGGTTAACATTTTAAACCTGCTAACTCAATTATTTGTGCAAAACCCAAAATGGTTATTGCCCAAGACAACACAAGTCGAAAAATGCAGATACAACAAGTGAACCAATCTGCAAAAGAAAGAACAAGGCCAATAACAGTGTAACAATTAAATGACTAAAAGACTTATTTTGTTTACTTGAGGAAAAATAGGCTCAGGAAGTTCTGTTAACTGTTCCTCTCGTGTTTCTTTGTTGGTTATAAGGTCAAGCTATCTGGATTCTCAACGATCTTTGCAAAGGTTTGAAGAAAAGCAGCCAAATCAGCTCCATAGACAATACGATGATCTGCAGTCACATTCACCTGGCAAAACAACCAAAGCCAAAGCTTATTGCTTATTCACCAAACCCTTGAGGCAGATTCTTAACAAGTTTAAATAGAACACCAACGAGTTTTGTTGCATGTGAAGTCAAAGATTAAAACTTACCATCATTTTGTTTTTCACACTGAAGAATCCGTCCTTATCAGCAACTACAGTTGGTTTCGAAGCTCCAACAGCCATTATAGCACCCTAGAGATTCAAGTTATAAACACAGATAAGTACAGTGAGTGATCTGAACAAGACAAACCTCATCCAAATGTCATGTACCTGTCCTGGAGGAAGAATGGCATCAAATCTATCGACTCCAAACATACCGAGATTCGATAAAGTGAAAGTTCCTGCAATGAATACACACACATGCATCCTCAGCTCAGCCAAACATTCTTCTCATGAAAGCATATGAAATATTTATTGTTCAAAAAAGTACCAGAGTTGTATTCATGTGGTTGCAGCTGCTTGCTTCTAGCTTTCCCCACCAGTTCTTTCCATTTTTGAGATAACAAGTACAAATCCAACTAAAATAACCAACACACAATCAGTAAGCTAAGACTAAAACCATGTTTAATTACAAAACTACCTACTTTCTACATCTTTCCATTTCCTTGATTACAAATTCAACTAAAAACAACCAACATCACTCACACAATCAGTAAGCCAAGACTAAAACCATATTCAATCCCAAAGCTACCTACTCTCTACACCTCTCCATCGCATTGATTACCTTATCCGCATCTTCTAGAACAGGAGTAATCAACCCGCCACCGATAGCAACAGCAACCGCAACATTAATACTACCGTTGTAACTAAAACTCTTCCCATCTTTACAGCTCGCATTCACCACAGGATGCTGCGCAAGCGCCATCCCTACAGCTTTAGCCAATAAAGCAGTCATCGTCACACCCTTTGGCTTCACCTGTAAACCGAAAAAAAAAACAGATTATTAACATTTGTCAATACGAGTTTTAAAAACAATAGTGTTGTTCGTTTGGCGCAGGTTTTCTGCGGCTGTGTCTGAGGCTGCGCCATGTTCATTAGTTGTTGTTTGTTTTGCAGATTATGACGCAGGATTTTAACTTAGCATCAGAAGCAGCAGTTAGAAGTAAGTACCTGCGTCAATCAAACGAACAAGTTTTTTTGTAAAAAAAACACGGCTACCTGCGGCAACCAAACTAACAGCACTAATGTGTATATCTTTTTTTCACCTTCTCATAGAGTGCGTCGAGAGCATCAGTGTTCACTGGATAACCAACACGGAACGTTGGCACAGAGAGACTCTCAATCATGTTTTTGGATACTGCAGATTGCATTGCTGTGAATGGGACGATGCTGGCGCCAGGCAATGGAGGAGGCGAGTTAGTGGTTGAAGCTTTCGCCTTCGCTGTTGGTGTAGTAGCAGCAGGAGGAGGAGGCGGTGGTGATGCCACAGAGGGAGCTATTCCCGCCGCCGCCTCCACGTCAGAAGCTGTGATCCTCCCGAACGGTCCAGTTCCCGCAACGGATCCGATATCCACTTTATGCTGCTTCGCGAGCTTCTTAGCATACGGCGTCGCCACGGTCTTCCTCAAACCATCCGACACCGTCTCCGTCACCGGAGACGGCTGAGCGATCGCCGGAGCGGGGGAGGAAGTAGCTGGAGGAGGAGACGGAACAACGGCCTCCGCAGAATCAGCTGGAGCGGAGGATGATGAAGATTTCGAGGCGGCTTTGCTCTTAGCTTCTTCGATCTCAGCCTCGGTCTCCGCCAACAATCCGATCGCGGCGCCTACCGGAGCCGATTCGCCTTCTCCGACGACGATCGCGGCGAGGTAACCGTCGTAGAACGTCTCAACGTCCATATCGGCTTTATCGGACTCGACGACGACGACGCTCTCTCCCTTGGAGAGTTTCTCGCCTTCGGTTTTGATCCAGGAGACGATTTTGCCTTCCGTCATGGTGGAGGATAGCGCCGGCATGAAGATCTCTCGAATCTTGGATCGCACCGTCATTGCTCTTCGGTGAGAGGGCGTAGTAGTCGAGGAGCGGAAGACGACGTGGCGGAAGGATGAGATGGAGGAAGAGAATGAGATGGTGGATTTGGATTTGGAGTTGGAGAGAGAAGGTGTTGATAGAAACGATGAAGATGAAACCGCCATTGTTGCTATCTCGATGAATCACAGTGAGAGAGAGAGAGATCTGAGAGATTTAGAGGAGTGGAGTGGACGGAGAAGCCGAGGTCGAAGTTCGTTATTTTCAATTTAAATTTTATTTTATAAGCGTCGTCGTACCAACTGGTATTTAGTAACCGGATAACTAAATCCGGTTGTTTCAATTTAAATTCCGGTTTATAAAACCATTTAATTGCTAATTAAGTTTAGGTTCTTCTCATCAGTGAGAGTTAGTCCTGCGACTTCGGTTTTTCAAAACCGAACCAAACGAACCGTCGGTTTTCGGTTGATCGAAAATTTTGAAACCTATTCCGAAATTTACTGAATTAAATTTCGGTTTGGTTCGGTTAGGTTATCGGTTAATTTTGGTTTTCAAAATTATTTTCGAAAATAACCGATTTTGTTGATTTTAGGTTAATTCTGGTATATTTTTGCAAAAAAATCGGATATTTTCGAATATTTTTAGTTATTTCGGTTAATTTATGATATTTTTGGTTTAATTCGGTTCGGTTTTTCGGTTATTTTTAAATATTTTCGAATATTTTTTGATTATCTTCGATTTTTTTAACTTTTTTTTTTTTGAAAATCAAAATCCAAATCACTTTTCAAGATCATACCAAACTAAACCGAATTGAAAACCAAAAATTTCGGTTCGGCTCAGTTCGCACTTCGCAGGCGTAGTGAGAACATTTAAAGATATTAACTGATAATTCGTGACGCGTCAGGGAGAAAGAGGGGAAAAACAAACCAACCGATTCCTTATTGAGCCCAAACCCTAATTTTGACGATCCGATGGAGAACGACAAGCAGATCGAATCACACAACCACAGCAAGCACCACCGTTCGTCTTCACCGTCCGACGAGGCCGATAGATCATCGAAGCGGCACAAGCATCGTCATCACAAGCACCACAGCAGGCGGCATCGCCGACATCACCGCGATAAGAAGCGCGACGATGAGATTCCATCTGGTGGCGATGAGGCAGAGCTGATGGATGTTACTACGATCGGAGTTAGTAACGGAGGTGAGGATGAGGTTGAGGAGGGGGAGATTCTAGATGAAGAAGGGCTGGGAAATGTTAAGACGTTAGATTCCGACGGCGAATCTGGCGAAATAAAATCCGATCAGTTTCAAGGAGACGATCTGGTCTGTTCTAACTGCTCTTCTTACTTATTTTTTGCTCAGTTTAGTTGACTTAAATTCTGTTTGGATGCTGGGATAGGAGGAATTTGATTAATGCCATATTTTTTTTTCATAAGCAGCTAGTTATACACCTCAGTATTCAAACTGGAATTTCATTTTTATGATATTAAATTTTTTGGTTTTTGAGAGTATTTATTTTAGATAACGTGAGTGTTTCAATGCATATATAAGAAAGCAGTTTGCACTAGGCGTTCAATGGAGACTGATCGCGTTCGCTTGATTTGTAAGAACTGGTTTCGCGATTATGTAGATGCTTTTTTTTTAATGTATGCTCATGCGTTTTTGTATCCATTTATCTCTTCTTCTGATAAGTCCTCCGAAAATCTTGTGGTTGTGCTTGCAGATTGTCGATGGGGTTTCTGGTGCTCGAAATGTGGAGACTTCTAATGGTGTTCTAACTCGTGAATCTGAAAGGGAGGACAAGAGGTGGTATAAAGAGTATGGAGGTGATGCTAATTGCAAGAGCTCACTTTCTTTGGAAAAGTTTGAGGAGAAGCATAAGAATAGCAACTGGTCTCCGACAAACAGCAGGCAGTGTGTCGAAGTTGAAGTTCGTGCTCGGAGTAGGTCTAGGTCACATGATCGGGAGAGGGAAATATCAAGATCAAGAATTGGTGAGGCGGATGTCAGAGGGAGACATCGTGATTCAAGTAGGGATTATCGTCATGACAGAATTGACTCAGGGAGGACTGAGGACGAATATTATCGACGTGGGCGTTATGAGGAAGATGAAAGGCAATATAGTCGAGAAGTCTTGGAAAGAGAAAGAAGTAAGGAGAGGGATATGGACAGGGAGGGAAGCATACGAGATAGGGATTCAGAAGGAAGTAAACGAAGAGAGAGAGATAGTGATCGTAGAAGGGAAAGAGAACGAGAGAGTAGGAGGGAGATTGAGGCTGATCGTGAAAGGCGAAAAGACTATGAACGGGAGCGTAGCATTGATAGGGATAGGAGAAGGGAAAGAGAAAGACGAGATAGAGACAGTGAACGAGGTAGGAGCATTGATAGGGAAAGGAGAAGGGAGAGGGAAGAAGATTATGTACGAGAGCGAGACAATGGAAGAGGTAAGAGTAGAGATAGAACAAGGTATGATAGTAGAGAGAGGAGGAGGGAAAAGGAAAGGGAGAGTGACAAAGATAGGGACACAGGAAGAGAATTCAAGACTGATAGCGAGAAGTATACAAGTGCTGATGTGGACAACGGGGAAAGGTGTTCTCTCAATAACCCTAACCCTTCTAAATTTTTCGTAACAGATGATAAACCTTAGTTATATTGTGTGGCTCCTACCTATTTTGCAACCAGGTCCAAAAATGAGGAAGATAAAAATAACAATGGAGAAGTTGTATGGAAATCTCCGGAAGAAGAAGAAGAAGAACTAAATAGAATCAAGGAGGAGAGTAGGAAGCGAAGGGAAGCCATACTGGAGAAATATAAGAAGAAGCCTGATCAGCAAAACGAACCTTCGTCGCAGGATATGGGGAAAGGTAATTCTTCATCCTTTATTTCAATCACTGTGCATGACGACTTAAGCATGATGGCTCAGATGATTTGTTTAAGTTAGTATGTGCATTCTTACTGTGGTTGGATTTGTAAATTAAATGGTTTCGAGGCTTTCATCTGGTTCTTAAGATGCAGTTCTTGAATTTTGGAACTTGGAAGTCAGTTGCATTTTGTGTATCAAACCACCCCTTCGGTTAATAGGAGCCTGTTCCTCAACTTAGAATTAGTGTTCAAAAGATTTCGTTGATTGATTTCCACATGCACTTGTACAAAGCTTGTTATTGAGAATTTGAGCTTCCACGCAGTCTCAGTGAGTCTTCTGTTTCTGTGCCAGATGATGTCCAAGAAAATGGTGCTCCAGCTTCGGCTTCTTCTCCTGTTGTTGTAGCTGCTAATACTAGTCTAGCCAACGCTAACTCAGACATTGATGCTGTAGATGGTGATGTTGCCAAAACATCATTAGCAACTGGTGGGCCACCTACTACGTTTGGAATTTCAGACTCAGATAGGACTCTAGCTCCAGCAGGGCTTGGTGAAGGTAGCCCGAAGGTGCGTTAGCAAATGAAATATTTTTGTTTCTTTAAAATTGGTGGTGTCGGGTGTGATAATTTAATATATACGTGCTGTTGTTTCTCAATCTTATATAATTTTATTTTTCCAGAGTGAAAGATCAGCTGACATGTTTCATGATGATATTTTTGGAGAGTCCCCAGCTGGTAATCAAAAAGTGGTATGTAAATTTAATTAGTTGACGTCTTTACACATAATCACTTACTAGATTTTATCATCATTATTTTCTCTTATCGCCATGAATCTAGTCAGATCCTGAGAAAACTTATTTTCAACTTGTGTACTGGAAATCTTTTATTTGTTATGTAAGGGTTTTTAGTATTTTCGTCTTACATTAAGCTTCCTTCTTATAGGGTCACATACGAGGGAAAGGTGATGGTGTTCCGATGGTAAGGAGCGGGCTTTATGATAATTGGGATGATGCAGAGGGATACTACAGTAAGTTTGTAACCATTTCACGCACCTTCTTACCTATTCAATTATTAGAAACCCTTCTGTTAATTTTTTAAAATATGGGTCTCTTCTCCTTCTTAGGCTATCAGTTTGGCGAGGTACTTGACGGTCGATATGAAGTCATTGCTACTCATGGAAAAGGTGTCTTCTCTACCGTGGTTCGTGCTAAAGATTTAAAAGCTGGACCAGCTGAACCTGAAGAAGTGGCTATTAAAATTATTCGTAACAACGAGACAATGTAGGTGGTGCATTCTATATAGGCTCTGACTTTTACTTCAAATTCTTTATGAAATATCTGATTGTTTTATCGTTATGCTTTTGCGGCTCATGACTATATCTCATTTTTTTTAGGCATAAAGCTGGCCAGACTGAGATGCAGATATTGAAGAAGCTGGCTGGTGCTGACCCAGATGACAAGCGCCATTGTGTTCGTTTTCTTTCAAGTTTTAAGTATCGGAATCACCTTTGCTTGGTATTTGAGTCGCTCCATTTGAATCTTCGTGAGGTCTTGAAGAAGTTTGGCCGCAACATCGGTCTTAAACTCTCTGCGGTTAGGTCTTATTCAAAGCAGCTATTCATTGCCCTTAAACACTTGAAGAACTGTGGGGTTCTTCACTGCGATATAAAACCTGACAACATGCTGGTCAGTTATACGTTTCTGTGGTTTTCTCATACTTCATTGACTAGCTTTCTAACAGTTGACAAATCCTCTGTTTCTCCAGGTGAATGAGAACAAAAACGTCTTAAAGCTTTGTGACCTCGGTAATGCAATGTTTGCGGGCAAAAATGAAGTTACGCCATATCTTGTTAGTCGCTTTTACAGATCCCCTGAAATCAGTAAGTTTTATCTGCAGTGAAGATTAACATATTTTTGGATTAATAAGAGAATATTCAATCGACTATTTCTAGAGAATATATGATTAGAGTTTTTTTTCCATGGCAGTTCTGGGGCTCACCTATGACCATCCTCTGGATATATGGTCAGTTGGCTGCTGTCTATATGAGCTATATTGTGGGAAAGTTCTTTTCCCTGGCGCCACAAATAATGATATGTTACGCCTTCATATGGAACTGAAAGGCCCCTTCCCCAAAAAGATGCTTCGTAAGGTAAGCATAAAGTAGATTTGATATCAAACACCTTCTCAGATGATCCCATTCAATAGAGAACTAGAACGAAGTACTTAACATGCTTGTACTTGTTTTATGTTCAACAGGGAGCATTTATTGATCAGCACTTTGATCAGGACTTGAACTTTTACGCGACAGAGGAGGACACTGTTAGTGGAAAGGTAACAAGCTAGTCCTTATGTTTATTCTGGCACTTCGCACTTTGATATCAATTGACTGTGAGTAATATGCTATTTTCTTTTTCAGATGATGAAGAGAATGATCGTAAATGTAAAGCCAAAAGATTTTGGCTCAATCATTAAAGGTTACCCTGGTGAGGATCCCAAGATGTTAGCTCATTTCAGGGATCTCTTGGACAAAATTTTCATCCTTGATCCTGAGAAGAGACTGACTGTAAAACAGGCATTAGCTCACCCATTCATCACTGGCAAATGAAACCACGTTACCGTTTTCTCTCTCTGTTATATCAGGAAATGCTGTTGTCTTCTGTACATTATACCATCTTAATTTTAATTCGAGGTTCTAATCTTTGAATTGTCTCCATCTTCTTTCTGCTGTTTGAGAGCTTTGGTTACAATGTCGGCGTGAGTGATGGTGTCTGGGTGGAGTTCGCACCAGTGGTGATACTCAATGGGAATTTGCTGGTTTTATTGTAAGACAGCCTGCTAATGGCACTTTCTTTCTTCATACTGCTGTGTAATCTTATTGCCGACTTCAGTCTTTGTAGAAGTCTATGTTTGGAAACATTTCATCCGAATAAGGAGTTGGGCATTCTGAATAATATTTTATAATATGGAAACTCTGTTAATATAATTTGTGATGTGGATTGCTTCATTTTTCTCTTATGGTCTTCTTGAGGGCCTGATGTTATTTTTCTCCAGGACATCTACCATCGCTTAGAGAGTCCTAAAGTCTTTCAGTGCTTTAAAGACACACAGGAGAAGGTACAATGGTTGTTTATTGGTAGTAAAAACTTTTGCATCTGCATTGGTGTATGGTTTGAACTTAAATGATATTGTTGCTTGAATAGGCTTAGAGTCTGTCCCCCATTTTAACTGTGTTTGTTCGCATTTTCTTTTTTGATGGTTCAAGTTTTGCCTGAAACAGTTCCTTTTATTTCTTATTTAGTACGCAATTTTCACCTTTTGTTTTTACGTAGTTTCAGTTTTTGTTTGTTTTGTGGTGTTTTGGGGTATTTACATATTATCTGATAAAGTATGTTATTGTCATTCCGGAGGTTTGCTTGGAGGAGAGAGCCGCGCAAGGAAAAAAAAAATATGAAGGTATTGAGATTAATTCATATCTCCCTGATTTTCTTCCAACTAGGCCTCTCTTTTTGTTCTATCTTCTTGTGGTTCCGTTAACTAATTTTGGCTTTTATCTTAATATAGGGCCGTACTCTCTCCAGTCTCCTCCTGCAAGTTTGGTAAGTATGTCGAGCTTTGTGTGTTGTGTGCCTTATCCTCTCATGATATGGCCACAACTTTGGTTGATGTGGATGTTTTATTTTTTTGTCCATAGCGTGGTAGAAGTATTAGGGTTTAATTCATTGATCTGTTTACATTTAGTGGCCTGACCGGCTAAGGTTAGACTGCAAGGGAAATAGTGACTTAGTTAACCTTTTTCACAACCTTTTTCACAACCTTTTTCACTGGATTTGTGAGTGTTTTGTTCATTGCACATATCGGGACTCTTGATTTCTGGTTTGGAATAAATTTTGTCAGTGTAGAGCATGCAAGTAGGCCGAATCAGTTCTTGTTCTTGCGTAGATGAGTCTGCAAAACTTAAGGATGTAAAAAAAAAAAAAAAAACTTAAGGATGTTAGTAAGTCAGCCTATGACCTTTCGTGATGGTTGTGATATGAATTCATGATTTTACTATTAGATATGTTTTTTTTGTTTGTTTCTGTATCTTCTGTCTGTCTTGTCTGTCTATATATCTCTTTGTTGCCGTGAAAGAGTCATATATGTATTGTTGCAGGGTCTTTTTTATTTGTACTGCGGCGCCTATGGTTAATTTAGTGTAGTGACAGTGTAATTCATAAAGCTTTATTCAAGCCATTGTCTCGTACTACAGAAAATTATCTAGAGTTGCATAAATTCGCAAATAGATACATGAATTTTTTTATATATATATATATATCATTGTTTTGATTGGAAATAAATTTGTTTGAAGTTACTTTAATGGTATTGGATTAATAAGCAAGAACATGGCACGATGCTACGATCTATGGTTTGTCTTTGTACATGTATTGCCACATGCATGCCAGGTTCATTTCAGCTTCAACAAAACCTCGAGAGAGTAACATGGAACTGCGTGCCGTTTCTGGTTACGTCTCACCGAGCATCTCTTGCATGTAACAGTAGGCCGGGTTTACGATTTACGAAACGAAGTAATGAATCCGAGTGAGCCATTATCTCTATCTGAGTGGTGTTCAGAACAGCCACTAATAATTAACGTTGCGGGCCAAAGGTCTGTTCGAGCCCACTCATTAAGAGTGTGGGTCGAGTCCATTGTGTGTGGCCTTTGCCAGTTTTAGAAAGTCCCATACGACGCCGTTTTCAGCGAGTCTCTCACTCTCCCACGTATAAAGTGAAATTCCTCCTACTCCGGTTGAATTTGGATAATGCAGGGAAGGATGATTCTGAATATCATATCGTCAGTGACATATCCACGTCACTCCCTCCACAGCCCTCACACAAAATCTTTGCAAATCCGCCGACATTTTCACCGGAGTAGCCAAATCCCCACCGTCAATCTATGCAATCCACGCCAGACAATGAATAGCTTCCAAATACGAACACGAGACAGAACCATCTTATGCTTGGCTCGCCGGAAACCAGAGACAGCGACGGTTGAGGTTGAAGATGATCCTCTCCGGGGCACTCTTCGTAATCTACTGTGGACAGCTGAAGCCGTGTACATACTATGGCTCTTTCTTCTTCCATACGCTCCCGTGAGAATCACCTTAAGCTTTAGACTTCCTTATCTTGGATTCTACAAATCTTATATATTTTTTTAATAAGAGTCTCTTTGATCAACAGGGAGATCCAGTTTGGGCAATAAGCTCAGAGACGGTGAATTCTCTCTTGGGACTTTCATTGAACTTCTTCTTTATCTTGCCTCTCACAAACTCAGGTGTGTTCAGCTTAAAGATTCTATGTTTCTCCGATCATTGTAGATTTTGTTATCTCTGATGTGGACATTTCTGACAGAACAGTTGGTATTCATGTCCTAGAAGCTCCCGTTCTTCACCCTGTAAGTATCATTTAAGTAATGTCCTTCATTAGTGTAAACTATTCAACAATCTGCTGAACATGTTTTTTAACTTTCTGTCAGATGGCAGAAGGGTTATTCAACTTTGTAATAGCTTGGACACTCATGTTTGCTCCCTTGCTATACACAGACCGAAAGAGAGATCGATTCAAAAGCTCTCTTGACGTCTTATGGGGTCTCATGATGTTCCTCACAAACAGTAAGCTAACTTACTTCACAACCTTGTCATCTGTTTACCTATGAAGCTCAGTTCTCTCTGAAAAGTAAACCTCTTTAACTTGATAATCCCTTCTTTTGATCTTGTGAATGCAAACAGCGTTTCTGATCCCATACATGGCTATCCGGCTCAATGACCCTGACCCTGATGATGAACCGAGCAAAAGGTCTCAACTCGGTGAAGCCATGACCAAAGGGGCGCCTATAGTTGGTCTCACTGGTGTTACCGTGTGTCTGATATCGACACTGTGGTCTCTCTACGGTCGAGCAGATGAAGGTTTCGGTGGAATATTGGAGAGATGGCAGTATCTGATTGGTTATTTGGGATCAGAGAGACTAGCTTACGCTTTTATATGGGATATATGTCTGTACACAGTTTTTCAGCCATGGTTGATTGGAGAGAACCTGCAAAATGTGAAGAAGAGTAAAGTTGAGTTAGTGAGTTATCTTAGGTTTGTTCCTGTTCTTGGATTGTTTGCGTATCTTCTGTTTCTCAATCTTGACAATGAAGCTTCTAGTTAATCTGTTAAATAATTGTTACAAAATACATGACACATGTTCATATGTATGTAAGAATATTTATTTTGTCATGGTGCTTTACCAAGTTTATTTGCCTTGAGTTTGATCTGATCTCTGAGATTTTAAGCTGATTCTTGGCATATAATGGACTGTATCAAGGAAAAGGCCTGTAGGGCAAAGGCATTGGCAGTATGCAGAGAGGTGACTTCCCCAAGGCTCGGAAGCTTGTGATGAAGGCTCAGAGACTTCTCAGGTCTTGATAGCTTACCTCAAATGTTAGCCGTATGTGATGTACACTGCGCTGCGGCCAATAAAATCAATGGTCTCTAGAACTGGTACGATATTCTTCAAGTTATGCAATTTTCTGACGATGCTACCTACAATCACGAAGCAGTACAAGAAGCTCGCCTGCTTCTCAATCCTGACAAAAACTAGTTCCCTAGTGCTGAGTCTGCTTTCAAGTTGGTTGGGGAAGCTAACAGATTGCTTGCTGACAAGGAGAAACAGAGTCAGTATGATATCAAACGCAGAATCAATTTACAGGTAGCTGTTAACAGACAGTTGAATTCAAGTAGCGTTAGCGGGAATAGTGTTAAGAAGGCTACGTTTTGGACATGTTGTGAGCACTGTGGCTATAAGAATAAGTACTTGAACAGTATGTGAACTCCAAAATGTATTGTTCAAGTTGTCAAAGATCATTCATGGCCTATGACACTGGACTTAATGGAGTGCCGCCTAAACCCAGCCCTAGTCAGAAAGAAGTTCAAAATCATAGGCCTTGTGACACATCTGTGAGTAAAAAACGTGGAGTCTAATGGTGTTCAACCAGGAAGTGTACCAGCTGATGTTGATAACAGAGGATCTGCCAAAGAGAAACCCAACAAGAAGAATGGAGAAAGTGAAAAAAATGATGAAGTAAAAAAACCTAAAATAGAGGTTAGGTGTTGGAACATCCAAACCTCTTAATTCTGGTGGTTCGTCTTCCTCTTCATCTAATTTTAATGGAAAGGCTGATGAAAGGGTCGATTCTGGATATCAAGAAAGCTCATCAACCGAAGACAAAAATATTGACAACAACCACAAGTCTAGTACGCAGGATTCACCTGATCCAGACTTTCATAGTTTTGAACTAGCAACAAGCTGTTTTACTGTCAACCAGGTTTGGTCTATGTATGATCCGAGTGATGGTATGCCTAGTTTTTTTGCTCGGATTACAAAAGTGATTGAAGCTGAGTTCAAGGTGTGTATGACATGGCTTGATCCCGTACATGATAATAATGATAATTGTGTTCCCATGTGGAGTTTTCCAAGATGGGAACATGAAGTAGACCACAGTTTGATATTCTCTTTTTAGATGCATTTTTCACATGGGGATAATCACATCGTTATTTATCCAAGGAAAGTAGTGAAGTTTGGGCAATTTTTAGAGGTTGGGATAGTAGGTGGAGTGGTAGCATAGAAAATCATAAACGAGCTAATGAATATGGCTTTGTTGAAGTTATATGTGATTTTGATGATGTGGATGGCCTTAGAGTGGCTTACTTGGACAAAGTGAAACAAATAATTAATCAAACAAATATTTCAACTTATGAATATTGAATTTAACAATCCTTTTGCTATATGGTTTACTTTACTATTTGATTTTGTGTATATTGGATTAACAAATAATCAATCAAACAGATAATCTAATGCTATGAGTGTTAGGGTTAACCATCTATCTAATAAGATATAATCGTTAAATTAAATGATATAATCATTTTTGCTTATTTTCTTATTTAGTTTTGTGTGGAATAGTAGATTAACAAATATTCCAATGTTATAAATGTTGTATTAACCTTTCATCTAATGAAATTGAATCATTATATCAAATGATTAAATCTTTTTTTTTTTTTGCTTATTTTATTATTTAGTTTTTTTGTGAAATATTAGATTAACAAATAATCAATCAAACAATAACGTCATGAATGCTTGATTAACCATCTATCTAATGAATTATAATTGTTAAATTAAATGATAGAATCATTTTTGTTTATTTTATTATTAGTTTTATGTGGAATACTAGATAACAAATAATCAATCAAATAAATAATCCAAATGTTATGAATATTGGATTAACCATTCATCTAATGAGATGTAATCGTTAAATTAAATGATAGAATCATTTTTTGTTTATTTTATTATTTATTTTTGTGTGGAATACTAGATTAACAAATAATCAATCAAACATATAATATAATGTGATGAGTACTGGATTAACCATTTATCTAATAAGATGAAATCATTAAATTAAATGATGAAATCATTTTTATTATTGTGTTATTTAATTTTGTGTTGAATATTAACTTAATAAATAATTAATTAAACAAATAATATAATGTTATGAATGTTGGATTAACCACCTATCTAATGATATGAAAGCATTAAATCAAATGATGGAATCATTTCTGTTAATTATTTTATTATTTAGTTTGTGGAATATTGGATTAATAATCAATTTAAACATTATCTAATCTTACGAATATTAGATTAACTATTTATCTAAAGAGATGAACTCATTAAATCAACTAAAGAAATCATTTTTTGCTTATTTTATTATTTAGTTATGTATGAAATATTGGATTAACAAATAATCAATCAAACATAAAATAATGAAATCATTTTTGCTTATTTTATTATTTAATTTTGTATGAAATATTGGATTAACAAATAATCAATCAGACATCAAATAATGAAATCATTTTTTGCTTATTTTATTATTTAGTTTTGTATGAAATATTGGATTAACAAATAATCAATCAAACAAATGATTTAACGTTATGAATGTTGGATTAACCATTCATCTAATGAGATGAAATCATTAAATCAAATGATGAAATCATTTTTTGTTTATTTTATTATTTAGTTTTGTGTGGAATGTTGGATTAACAAATAATCAATAGAACAAATAATCAAACGAACAATCATCTAATGAAAACAAGCATCGTTATGATTATATTGTATGTTGCCAAAGCACTTCTTAACTTATGAGTGTTATTCATTATTTTTGTTAAAAAATCACACAAAATCAAATGATAAAATAAACAAAAAATAAGCAAAAAGTGAAATTTAAGTAAAATATTATAAAATATGAAAAACAAAACAAGATGTATAGTTACATCATATTTTTTTATTAATATTCTCTTTTTACCATATATAAACATTTTGTATTTTAATACTATATAACATTTATATTGGCAATGCTAACCTCAGTTGTAGCAGTGATCATTTTCATCTGGGTGTATTCGGAAGATGTATTGACTCACCGAATATGTCATTGCTACTGTTTTTTACTTCTATAATATGCATGTCATTAAATTCATGTATGCATGATTTCTACGGTTTGGAATCTTATGTATAAGCATGTTGCTGAAATATGTTCTCTCTCCCATTTACGTGGTTTAGTGGTTTCGCTAAATGACATGCTTTATCAGAGTTCTTATGCATTTAGTGAATGACGATGAAAACGATTTTTAAGAATCATCATGATTATTTCATGTTTATGTTTATGATTAATTCATGTTTTGATACATTTAGTTGATCATCACATTTACCATTCATCATGATTAATTCATGTTTATGTTGGTTCACTTTCTTTTTCTTTAATATATTTGCTTGCGATTAAATATTTGTGTACTGATTCATGAACATCTATTAGACAATATAAGACAAAACTCTTATAAAATTCAAATTAAATTCTTCTAGTTGCAACATGCAAAATTTTGTAAATTAATTTTCAATAATTGGCATAATTAATGTCAGATTTTCTAAAATGATAAAAACGTTACTAAATTTTAGTCAACCTTGAGACTATTCAAGGGACTTTCATGACTAAATTAAATTTTTGTAAATTAATCATCAATAATTTGTAGGAATGATAATAAATCGAATTTTCTAGCTAGAATGAGTGGATTTTCATGACTAAATCACTGATTTTAAACTATCATGTATGTTTTCTGTATATAGAAAGTTTTAATTAACATTGCATTTCTATGATTACTCGCAAGTTTTTCTTAAAAAAACATATTTAATACATTTTTTTTTTGTCTTTAAATCATTAAACATAGGAAATAGGGAAGAAATTAAACAAAAAAAATAAATTCTAAAAAAATAAAAAAATGCATGTTCACAACGAGTTTAAGTGTTACACTTTATAACAAAATAAATCAAAGGCAATCATTGGAAATATTAATAGATTTTTCAACAAGAAGACAAAAATTTGAAGTTTTGTCCTACAAACACATATTTCCATCTTTTTTTTAATGGGAAATAAGAAAAAGAAAGCTAATGGGCCTTATATAATAGCCCATTTATATAATACTCAGGCCCATTTCCAGTTAACGCATGAAGATGCTAGTCGCGAGGAAAATGCTTTTCATTCTCTCTCTCTGCACATTTTCTCAAAGTCTCGTTCCTCTCTCCATCGATAGATCGCTCCAAGACTCTGCAATAGCCTCCTTGAAGGCGCCAAAAACTCGGTAAATCCTTTCTCCTTTCAATTCAACTCAAATGTTAGACAGAAACAATCCAGATTCTTACAATTGTTTTTCTTGTCGGATTCCGACAAATCTCTTTAGATCTGTCTGAAATTTCTTCTCTAAATTTTTTTTTTTTTTTTTAATTTCATTATAATTTCAAAGGTAAAGAATCAAATATGTCAACGATCGAAGAGCCGCTGTACCCCATCGCGGTACTCATAGACGAGCTAAAGAACGATGATATCCAATTAAGGCTAAATTCAATCAGGCGTCTCTCCACGATCGCTCGTGCTCTCGGAGAAGAGAGGACACGTAAGGAGCTGATTCCTTTCTTGAGTGAGAACAATGATGATGATGACGAGGTGTTGCTTGCGATGGCTGAGGAGTTGGGAGTGTTTATTCCTTACGTTGGTGGCGTTGAGCATGCGAATGTTTTGCTTCCGCCGTTGGAGACTTTGGCGACGGTGGAAGAGACTTGTGTGAGGGAGAAGGCTGTTGAGTCGCTTTGTAGAGTTGGGACGCAGATGAGGGAGAGTGATTTGGTTGAGCATTTCTTGCCGTTGGTTAAGGTTAGTTAACGTCATGTTTATTTTTTGATGTTATTTAAGTGGCTTAGTTAGGTTCTGAATGGTAACGTGTGGTTCTAATAGTAACAAAAAGGTATAGATATATGTATATATTTAGAGATTTTTGTTACTATTAACTGCGGTGCGGTACGGTCGCAAGAAGTTACCATTTGGATCCTTAATCTTGTGATGTTTCCTAATGTTTTGTTAATAGGCAACGGCTAGGTTAAAGATTAAACGTCCGTTTTGGTTGTTCTAGGTTGTCTGTTTTAAGTAGTTGATACCCTTGGTTAAGGTTAGTCAACGAGGAGAGCATAACGAAAGGTCTGATAATGTTTTACTTTTAATGTTATTGAAGTGGCTGAGTGAGTTAGGCTCCGGATTGTGCGGTTCTAATAGTAACAAAAACGTATAGATATTTGTATATATGTGGAGATTTTTGTTATTATTAACTATGGTGCCGTGTGGTTTGAGATGTTACCATTCGGGGGCTTGGAGCCTTAATCTTGTGATGCTTCCTAATGTTTTGGAATAGGCAACGTCTAGGTTAAAGATTATACGTCCGTAGTGGTTGTTCTAGGTTGCTGTTATAAGTGAGTTTCTTGGTTTGTGGCTATGCGTGTTAGCGTCCATCTTAGCCTCATTATGTTCTTTGGTTTTTCTGTATTTGATTTTTGATGTATATTCGAGTGGCTTACTTAATCTTGTGAAGGTTATTGTGAAACTAGCAAAACCGTTTTTAGTTTGTTTGTTTTCCCAAAGTAGTTGTCTTGGTTTTGTGGTTGTGCGTGTGAGCGTCCATCTTTTTTGGAACCTATGTACATGTTTTGTTCTGTTTTTTGGTAAAAACCTATATAATTCAAGTGTTAACAGATGTTTTTTAATGTTCGTATTTTTCTTATTTGAATTTTGGTGGTATTCGAGTGGCTTATTTAATGTTGTGAAGCTTACCATTTTTTTTTGGAATAGTCAATCGCTAGGTTGAGATTATACGTCCGTAGTGGTTGTTCTAGGTTGTCAGTTATAAGTAGTTGTCTTGGTTTGTGATTGTGTGTCAGGGCGTGTCATCTTCCATCTTTGTAGGAACCAAAGTTCATGTTTAGTTTTGTTTGTGCTAATCTTTTTTGTATAGTCTATAGTTGAAATAAGAGATTATTGAAGATTCACATTCTGTTTAACAGAGACTTGCAGCTGGTGAGTGGTTCACAGCTAGAGTTTCAGCTTGTGGAGTTTTCCATATTGCGTACCCAAGCGCCCCAGATACGTTGAAGACCGAGTTAAGATCGATATATACTCAGCTCTGTCAAGATGATATGCCAATGGTGAGGAGAGCTGCAGCAACCAATCTCGGGAAGTTTGCTGCAACTATTGAATCAGCGCATTTGAAGACTGACATTATGTCTATGTTTGATGATCTTACTCAAGATGGTAATTTCTTATCTGATATGCTTCACTCTGGTAGATAATTATAAACTCTGATTTTGCGAGTGGCTGATGTAAATAAGTATATGGCCAGCAGGAATGAATGCATTTAACACTTAGCATTAGCTGAAATTAAACATGAATATGATTGTCCGGACTTAAATTTAGTTATCTAACATTACTTTCCATATTTGCTCTCATATCAGATCAAGATTCCGTTAGATTATTGGCCGTTGAGGGCTGTGCTGCTCTTGGGAAATTATTGGAGCCGCAGGATTGTGTCGCACACATTCTTCCCGTGATTGTTAATTTCTCGCAGGTGATTTTGTGTGTAGAACATATAGGCTTTGACCCTGTTGATCCTTGAATAAGTTACACTTTTGAGATGCTTAATCTTGTTACTTTTGTTACCGAGCAGGATAAGTCCTGGCGTGTGCGTTATATGGTTGCAAATCAGCTCTATGAGCTTTGTGAAGCTGTGGGACCTGAGCCTACTAAGTAAGATTTTTTTTTTTTTTTGCTAGACCTAAATGCTGCTTGTCTTTAGCCTCATTGGATTACATTATATTACCCCTTTATAGGTTTTAGGTACTCAGAAGTTTAATGTTTTTGATCTATCTTGATGTTGTCGTTTACTTCTTCTTGATACTATTTACTGTGCTTTCTATATTAAGGACGGAGCTTGTACCTGCATATGTGCGTCTACTTCGTGACAATGAGGCTGAAGTACGCATAGCAGCTGCTGGAAAAGTTACTAAGTTCTGTCGGATCCTAAACCCTGAACTTGCTATTCAGCACATTCTCCCCTGTGTAAAGGTACAACCTTTAATAAAACAACCATTGTTCTCGAGTTCTTACATATAACATTCCTATTACTAATAGTTTCTGTAACTCTACCTGTAGGAGCTATCATCAGACTCTTCTCAGCACGTCAGATCTGCATTGGCCTCAGTTATAATGGGAATGGCTCCAGTCCTGGGTAAGGTAAGACACTTTATTGACTCTACTGTTATGGGATTAACTCTGCTTTTCAATATTCGGGTAAGGTACTGTGATCTGTGTATGATGCAGATGTTGACTCTACATTGATTTTTTTCACTGCAGGATGCAACAATTGAGCATCTCCTTCCAATCTTTCTCTCTCTGTTGAAAGATGAGTTTCCGGATGTACGCTTAAACATTATCAGCAAACTTGACCAAGTGAATCAGGTTTGTTATGGACCAAGTCTCCCAAACACAATGTTACTATCTTTAACTTGACTTAAACCTTTGCGATTATCTGTTGATGATTTCATTATGTTATATTTGCCAGGTTATTGGGATTGATCTACTGTCACAGTCCTTACTGCCAGCAATTGTAGAACTTGCCGAAGATAGACACTGGAGAGTAAGACTTGCTATAATCGAGTATATCCCTTTGCTGGCAAGTCAGTTAGGTGTTGGCTTCTTTGACGATAAGCTTGGTGCTCTTTGCATGCAATGGTTACAAGACAAGGTTTTACATTCTCTCTTTCTCTAACCTTTACTGAGAAAGATTAGCTTATGCAACAAATAAGCAAACCTTCTTCACCGTTGCTCTCATTAGGTTCACTCGATCCGTGATGCTGCTGCAAACAATCTGAAGCGGCTTGCTGAGGAGTTTGGTCCTGAATGGGCAATGCAACATATAGTTCCTCAGGTTTGTCTACAAACTTACCAGAAGAAAAAAACAGTATGAATCTGTTTATTAGATTTAACCCAACGATTTTTTCATTAATCTGCAGGTTCTTGAGATGATTAACAACCCTCACTATCTATACCGTATGACTATTTTGCGCGCGGTTTCTCTTCTTGCACCAGTGATGGGCTCAGAGATCACATGCTCTAAGCTCTTACCTGTGGTAATCACTGCCTCTAAAGACAGGTAAGTTCTCACTGTGAGCTAGTTAAAGACTCAAAATCATTTTATTTCAAACATCATAATTATTTTAAACAATTTTTTTTTTTTATATTTACCACAGAGTTCCAAACATCAAATTCAACGTCGCTAAAGTGCTTCAATCCCTCATTCCAATAGTCGATCAATCAGTAAGTAAAAAAAGATCTAATCAGTTTGAACATTTATTTGGTTTGAGCAAAATTTATTATATGGTTTTGTTTTAATTTTTTTGGATTGGTGGTGAAATAAATAAAAAAGGTTGTAGAGAAGACGATTCGTCCAGGGCTTGTGGAGCTAAGTGAAGATCCAGATGTTGATGTGAGGTTTTTCGCAAACGAAGCTATTCAGTCTATTGATAATGTGATGATGTCTTAGCTAAGTAAAAAACTTCGAGTTCTTGTTTCTATCCCTTGTTTTCTGTCTGATGCAAAAGTTATAAATTCTCAAGACTGTAACACGTAAGTAGTGAGAGAGAGACAACTTTTGTGTTCTGTTCTTTTTTATTACACGCAAAACACTTTAAGCGACTCGGTGTGGAATATGTCCATTGTCTTGCAACAAACGTGTTCCGTTTTAACTTTGTTTTGTGATTTTTTTTACTTTAGTTAAACAAATCCTTTTTCCGCAGTAAATGTATTTTTTTTTTCATTACAATTGTCATTCTTCTTCTTGCTGCATGTTCAATTAAGTTGAGGCTTTGAATGGTTGTTCAGTCCACTCTAGATCGAACTAATCTGACACCAAACATTTTGGTACAATAAGCTGAACAGGGTGGCTGGAAATTTTAAAAGTCGTACAAACTGTATATTTTTGGTCCTACTCTTACAGTCCACTAGGCTCTGTATCTTTCATGGTCTGCTGCGTATTGAATTAACTTTGCGAATGGTAAAAATAGTTGGATGGACTGGTCCGGTCAGTACCCTTAAGTAATATTTCTTCTGTTTCGTAATATCCATGTTTTAGAAAAAAGTTATTTCTAAAAAATCTATGTTTATATTTTCAATATAAATAATAATGACAAATTGCAAACTTCAAAAATATTAATTATGTTTACTCATTTTTGATTGGTTAAAAATCATAGGAAATAGCTAAACATAGAAAATGATATATTTATTATCAAAGTTTAAGTGTTTTTTCAATAAGTGTAAAAACTTTAGAATATATATTATTTTGAAACAGGAGTAATAGATTTTATGGATTGGTAAGGACTAAAGAATAGGTTTTATGTTTGTTAAGATGCTGTGTTTTAATTTGAGAATTCGGCCAAAAAAAACACGAACTTTGCACGAATTGCCAAAAGAAACCTGAACTTTTGGCCTGACCAAAAAAAACATAAACTTTTCATTGACTTTCGAATTAATTAACAATGTTTTCGTTGACTTGCCAATTTGGCACGCCGTCAACAAATTTAACAGAAAAAATTAACGTTGTTAATTGTTGCCGTTAGGATGAGACGACGTCGTTTTCGATTGAGAAGAAACGACATCGTTTTAAGGGATTTGAAAATGAAAAGCCGTAGACCCCTGGATTCGAACCCGGGTTGATTGGATCAAGTGGCAAGGAAGTTTACCACTAGGCTAGTGGCACATTCAATGTAACTACTAACACATTTACTTATATTTGGTACTGACTGAATATTAAAAAAATTCTATAAAAACTTTAAAAATCTTTAAAATTTCAAAACAAATGAAAAAAAATTTTTTTTTTTATAAAATTAATTTTGATATTAAAATTAAAATAAAATTTTATTTTTCTTTAAAAAATCAGACGGGAACTTATACAATTTAATTTTCTTTTAATGTATCTATTAACACCTTTACTTATATTTGGTACTGATTGAATATAAAAAAAATCTATAAAAACTTTAAAAAGTCTTTAAAATTTCAAAAAATGAAAAAAATAAAGAGTTTTTTTTTATAAATTTAATTTTGAAATTAAAATCATAATAAAAAAATTATTTTTTCTTTCAATGTATATACTAACACATTTACTTATATTTGGTACTGATTGAATATAAAAAAATTCTATAAAAACTTTAAAAAATCTTTAAAATTTCAAAAAAATGAAAAATAAAGAGTTTTTATAAAACTAATTTTGAAACTAAAATTAAAATAAATTTTTATTTTCTTTAAAAAAATCAAAAATCTTCCAAAATTTTAGTTTAAAGAAAAAATAAATTTTATTTTAATTTTAAAATTTATTTTAAAAAAAAATCGTTATTTTTTCATTTTTTTGAAATTTTAAAGACTTTTTAAAGTTTTTATAGATTTTTTTTATATTCAATCAGTACCAAATATAAGTAAAGGTGTTAATAGATACATTAAAAGAAAAATTAAATTTTATAAGTTCCCGTCTGATTTTTTAAAGAAAAATAAAATTTTATTTTAATTTTAATATCAAAATTAATTTTATAAAAAAATTCTTTCTTTTTCATTTGTTTTGAAATTTTAAAGATTTTTAAAGTTTTTATAGAATTTTTTTTAATATTCAATCAGTACCAAATATAACTAATTGTGTTAGTAGATATATTGAATGTGCCACTAGCCTAGTGGTAAACTTCCTTGCCACTTGGTCCAATCAACCCGGATTCGAATCCAGGGGTCTACATCTTTTTATTTTCAAATAGCTTAAAACGACGTCGTTTCATCTCAATTGAAAACGACGTCGTTTCATCCTAACAACAACAATTAACGTCCGAGTTAACACCGTCTTAACGGTTCGTTAACGGTGTGTTAAAATGGCGAGTCAATCGTAAGTTTCTTAATAAACTAATAAAGTCAACAAAAGTTCAGGTTTCTTTTGGCCAGACTCGAGTACAGGTTTCTTTTGGCCATTCGTGCAAAGTTGGTGCTTTTTTTGGCCGAATTCTCGTTTTAATTTCAACTATGAAACTGAGTGTAGTATGTGTTTTTTTTTCGTTATATTGCTCTTTATTCATGTAAAATCCTTGGATTAGCAAACATGAATTTAAGGGGAATTTCAATTTTCATTGTGGAAGGTCTTCTCTCCTTGTGAGAGTTAATTTAACATCGTTTGGCTTTTGTCAAATCTATTGCCATCGTTTGGCTTTTGTCAAATCTATTGCCTTCCTAAATTATATAAGAAGTTATTTAAATTTCTGAACCTAATTTTCGAAAGGCTGTGCTCACTGTCTCGTGGATGGGTCAGTTACCATGAATATTCTCAAAATTAATATTTGGTTCTATTTATTTCCAAATAAAGGTTCACTTTAAGTAGTACCTTTTTAGGGTTTGAACTATTGATGTGTAGTTGCAATCAAACAGGGACGTTCATTTAATTTTGTTTGCGTTCCACCGGCCAAATTACACTTGCTGCAGCCGAAAAACGTCGCTTTTAGAAACGGTATCTTATGCGTCTGTTTTAACTTGCGTTTAAATGTACAAATGTTAGAAATAGCGTTGAAATACTAAATGGTGAGTATATCTACCAACCCACGTGATTTTTGATCGATTTTCTTATAATATGTAGCTTTGACGGGGTGTTGCCATCTACTTTCTACATCCTCTTGATTTAAGAACGTTATGTAAATGGAAGATACTCGAACTTTACGACTCATTTGGTTATTCTTAGTAGTCTATATCAAATTTCAAGTTATACCATGTGTGTACTCCTATTTATGGGTTTTCTAACTGGCCTTTATATAGCTTAAATACCAGTACATATTTGAGATAATATTTGCTTTATACGATCAAAATGAACTAATTCTTTCTATCAACAAATGAACTAGTTATACAAAGAAAACATTAATATGTATACAAAAAAAATATATAAAAATTGTTTTTGTTTTCATTTCTGTTAGGTTTGGATTGAGCTTACACTTTTGTTCAACTCGGAATGTTAATGTTAATATTTTTTGTAAGATCTTGAAATAATAAAAAAACATATTTAAGAAGTTTAGAATCAACTGAGATATACGCAAATATCAGTATATATATATATATTAATTAAAGAACGCGTAATGTATTTTTCAATCGCAATATTGGAAGTACAAGATAGATATTTTTTCTTGTCATTACATAATGCACACAAATGTCGACTCAAGACATCATAGTAAGTACTCATATATACGCATGCATGTATTCTTGGCTTAGTTTACATTTGGTATTCGGTGGGAGTTAAAATTTGGTTCCCAAATGCACTTTGAATATATATATACCATACCCTCCTTGAGCACAAGCACGAAAGATGGGTTACAAGTTTTTTATATATATCGCAAGTTTGTATTTTCACCTTTTTCAAAAAAAATTGATTGAAGTTAAACATTCCAGTCCTGTCGAATAAACCTACAAACATATCCAAACGTTTTTTTTATCAACAAACCAAAGTTTCTATATAGAAAAAATTAATTGTGAATCGCGCGATGGCATCATTATAGGACATATTACATGCTATGTACGATTGTAATTAAATTATTAAACTAAATGTTACCGTTGACTATCATACAATACAATGCGTATATGGTAGACACCTAATTTAGTATAAAAAGGTTGGAGGTTAGAGCATACATATATATATATCTCAACCACCAAAATAATCGAAATATAATTCGTATATCTCGACTACCTTAGTTATACCACAATCGTAGGTTGCTACCAAACACGAACATGCGTACACATGTATCTAGTAAACTTAGCTTTGTCTATTTAAGCAGCTCTACTAGGTCCTCTTTTCTATAAGTTCTTCAAAATATATTCCTTCAACAAATAAAACAATGTGTTCCCTTCAAATTCCACGAAAGAGAGCAAGAAAGAAAAAAATCTCTGAAAGAGGCCTACCATACACTAGCTTGGTAAATGTTTCTTTTTCTTTCTAATAAATATTTTTAGGTTTATGTATACTTTTAATTTTCTCTTTCTCAACTAGAAGATGTATTATGTATAAATTAGTATTAGTTGCAGATTTACCATATCATTCTTATATATGTATTTTGAGTATGTTATTGATGCATCATTAGAAAATATGTACATATATATATAATTTAATTAAATAAAATATCTGAAATTTTGATATATATATTTAAAATATCCCAAAAACGTAATTATTTTTTCTTGGAATGAATGTCTCATGTTTAAAATATTTACTCAATCAAATATTATTTTTGCTCTTTTTTGTAGATATCCAAAATTTAGAACTCTTCTAATAGAGCTGCTCTTATAGCAATGCAATTTTGAGTATTCGTTACTGATTAGGAATGTATATACGTATTATTATAATAAGTAACATCAAAGGTTGGTGTGAGAAAGGCTTCAAAAAAACTCATCTAAAAAACAAATCTACTGAATGTAAGCTTTTGATCAATTTTGTAAGATTGTGCGTTAGTAACATGCACGAATGTATAATTCCCTCGGAGTACTTAGATTTTATAGAATAACTATATTTGGTCATTCGAGCATAATATTAACACGAACTATTACTTGTTTTAGTGTTTTTTTTTTTTTAAAAGATCACTATATTGAAATATCATAATTCAGAACTCAACATCTTATAGAAGTAAAGTATCACAAGTCAATAGAGGTTACACTAATGGAATTCGAACGTGCAAATAATTAGCTTAACAATTACGCTATAATGCAAAGTTTTAATATTCTGTATTTGATTAGTAATATCTACGATATATATATATATATATATATATATATATATATATATATATATATATATATCGATGCTTTTCATGCCTAAATATTTACGTGTGTTGCCCTTTATTCGCAGGTCGATTCTAGTTAATTACTCTCCATGGAATATTCATTTGAGCAAGATGTTGGCATGAAATTGCAGCGGTGAAGGACGAGCTGAATCTACATGGATACTACCTCGGCCTCGATCCTTCACTTCATTATTAATTACATGGTCACAATTTAATTGTAGACTATGTATTAATTAATATTGTGAATTTGGATTTAGAAATCAAGTTTAAAATATTTAGTAAATTTGATTGACTGTCAAAATCTTTAATCTATATTGTATTGATGACAACTGAAATTTGTAATAACTTGAGAAAGTAGTGATGTCTCTGAGAATTACTTATTCCTTCTCAGTGAAGGAAATTTTTGTTATATATAAAACATTTATATAATTTTGTTATACATTTGTTCCTTGCAATTTTTATTTTTAATCGGAAAGTGTATCTAAAGGGATATGCTATATAAATGGGATAATAAATGAGTGAAAAATACCCTTAGAATTGGTTAGTCACAATCTGGCGGAAGCAAAGTGAGAAAACTTCTGACCAGTCCTAATAAGCAGAGGAGTCTAAAATCAGGATGACTATCTTATATAGATAATCAAAAACACGAGCTGCTTATAATCTCACCAAATCTTAAAATTTGAGTAAATTTGTGAATCAAAGTTTCTCATGACTTTGATCAAACCAGTAGTATATATCGACACTGAGAGATGTCAATCCCGGCATGGAAATCTTCCATAACAAGAGAGAGATCAGTTAGTGAAAAGTAAAAAATAAAGAGAGAGCAAGTGACTACAATGATGAACAAGCAAGAACGACTAAACAAATCCATGTTGCCTTAGTTCAACGTATCCTGTAATTTAGCAGCTAAATTGCCTATTCTTCAAGGTGACAAGATAGTAACGCTGATCCCTTGCACTCTCACCAAAAGAGAGAAAGAACTTAACTTTCAAGTTCTCCTAACATACTTTTACTTAATTTTCTCACAAAAAAAAATCTACTTTTACCGTTTCTTTTTGAGAAATTGATTAAAAAACAGATGGCTATCATTTTAAAAAAATACACTTAACCAAGAAATATTTTAACATTCGGATTCAGAGTTTAGTATTTATTGTTGAGGATTTAATATTTAGGAGATAAGACTGGATTTATAAATTTTATAGAAATATTTTATAAATTATTTTAAACATTTAAAAATGATTTTAAAAATTAATTTATATTTTATTAAAGTATTTTATGAAAATATGTATCCTTTAAAGATAAATTAGAAAAGTGGTATCAAACTTGATTTAGTATTACTCGTACATACTAATATCACTGTCAAACTTGGTCTGACCGATCCTAATTTATCTCAGTTAAGAGAAGATTCAATCAAGATTAGCACAAACCTTAAATGATGTCACATCAAATATTGTGTATCGACACAAACGTTGATAACCTTATAACGGAGTAGGCATTATACAATTACTATTTAGGTCTAGCCGAATATTCCGTTCTGATATAACATTATGTTGTTAATTAAGTAATACGAGAAGCCACGAAAAGCATTGGTTGCTCTTGTTTCCCGTGTTTTTATATCGTCCTAAAGTAAGTATCAAGAGCTGTTTAGGCTTTTAGTGACTGCGAAAGGTCACATAATAACCTGCTTTTATTAGCTTAACCCACCCCTGATCTATTAATTAAACTAATCATATCTTAAGGAAACCCTAATCTGATTCATGTTCTTTTGGATCTGTCATCAAAGTATTGTATTTATTTTCTATATAATAATATATACACATATCTATAGAATCCTAGAAAACTTAAAATACAATTGAAGATTTGATTTAAGATCAAACCACCATATCGAGAACGACAATAGCTTTTCTCTAAAATTCAAGTTTCCCGATGGTCTTCAAGTAAAATTAGTTGTCAATTTTTTTAAAATCCATCAGTTTGATGCAAATTTAGATAGTAACATATTAACCCATTAAGAAATGGTAGTAGAGATTAATATGTCATGTAGTTCATAGAGCCATACGATATGAGCTCCAAAATTAAATTGCAAGAAAACCAAACTTTTTAGAGGCTTTCTGATAAAATCTTGATTCCGATTTCGATTTAAGATTTACATAGTTATAGAAAGAAAAAATTATTAAAACTAAATACAACAAAGAAATCAACGCTCTATGTAAAGAAGATAACGTGCACATTTGTATTCAAACCAACTAAAGAATAAAGTTTTTACTAGAACAGTTACACATAGTAAGAAATTAGTAAATTATTCTCTTCACATTCCGGGATATTCTTCCCATGAAGAGGCCATGAGTTGTGGGTCTTTTTCATGGAATGAAAATAATATGCATTTTCTTCTGTTAAAGACATATAGTATATATAATATATGTTTTCTCTAATGGCTTACGTATCTTATAACTACAGTAGTATACACTACCGTGGCCGACATTATATATTAGAATGCAATTACTATTATATTTGTGCCTTTGTGGTGGCTCAAGTTTCCTATAAAAGTGTTAATATCAAAAATTTCGATTCTCTGTATGAATGACTGAGGAGAACTGAAAAACAAAAAACTAATAGGAGCCGACCAAGAAAAAAAAAAGCTTTACTAGGAAGACGACGTTTTATATTTTAGTTTCATAGAATCGTTTTAATGGATTCCATCTGTAAATGTTTAATCAGACTATATTCCAAAACGATGTGGTCAAATATAATTGACCAACATAATGCGTCAATCAAGTTAATTATTTGGAGCTTCACATATCAGCTATAGATTCAATAAATTAATATGGATCTTTGATTTATGGGACAGAAACAATGAGTACAAAGTACGGTAACGAATTCCATTTTATCCTATGTAAGACTATATAACGTTCTTTCGTATGAATCTCAATGTCTATACCATTTGCTTTACGTTATGATTTAATATAAAATTTCATTATAGTTTTGCATCTTTAGTCTTTGTACGAGTAGAAGAAGACATTGCCGGGGAGCTACACCGAATAATTCCTTTGTTAGAGCATCGTGATCTTTCTTCCGAAATAGTCCGACCAAAACTTGTTTGGCTCGGCCACTCTGACAGCAATGGACCGTAAATCCCGGTGGTAGTCTCACCCGCCGCCGCAGCATTGGCCGTGGAGTGGCTACCTTGAGGTTTCCATATTCCACCGACGACTTTGAAATGTTGCGTTTGAGAGTCTCTCTTGTTGGAATTTTTTTGGCCAGGTCGTCTTGTATGCAGCCTGTATTTCTAATTATTATCCAAGAACAAACATTTTAATATATATAGGCAAAAATTATTGAAGAAAATAAAAGTAAAGTTCTAATCGCAGTTCCATAAAAAAAAATCGACAAACTTTTACTGTACTCTTCAAAATTGACGAGCCGAAGTGCCTCAATTTGGCAAAGAAACTTATTTAAATTTTTGTACCATTATGAAAATTTTTTTTTTGAATTACAGTGAAACCTCTATAAGTTAATAATGTTGAAACTATATTAAATTTTTATTTTTTATTAATTTAAAAATATGAATTTATCGATATACTAATCAAACCAAAAATTCAATTTAGTACTATATATAAAATTATATTATTTTATAGAAATATTTAGTGTATATTAATTTATCGAATATTAATTTATAAAGATTCTACTATAAAATCTAATTTTACTACTAACCTGCAAATGACTTTTAACTTCATCATTTGTTAACCCATCAACCTTCATTAGCTCTCTAATCTGTTTCGGCGTCGCTACTGCAAAATGTCGTTTTTACAATAAGAATTAGTTGAATCCTCTAAACCCTATATCAAAATTATGAATCTTGAAAAAATGTTAAATGAAATCAAGAAACACACCATGAGGACCACCAAGCTGTTTAAGAGTGTTCAAGAAGCGTCTGTGCAACTCATGTGACCAACACCTCCTATGCTTTCGCTTCCCTATTCCACGGCTACCACCGCTCTCCGCCTCCTTCTTTCGCCCACCGCTAATACTCGCCTGAGATTTGTTGTCGCCACTTTTTCCGTTGCTCGTTTCATAACACGGCGCCTGATGAGACGTTGTTCTGTTGTCATTTCCTTTGATCGCTTCTACCACCGTTTCTGTCTCCTGTTTTGCGCGTTCCTGAAAACGCAAGACATATATAAACCTAAGATTTTCGAGTTATTAGTTCATACTCGTTTGCAATTGCGTTTAGATTATATGATATTTCTTTGTTAACATTTACAATATGAAATAGCCAAACGGTGAAGTCTCTATTTGCGATTAGCGTTTACATCAGTTTCTCATAAAAACACAAATGCAGTGCATTCCAAAACAATCAAGGCCATTATCTTTCCATTATATCGTATTTATTCTAAAAACGATTTTTTAATATCATCCATTGTTTCAGACCAAATATTATATTGACATACAGTATAACATCTTTAAATTAATATTCTATAAATTAGTATACACTAAAAAATTTCTATAAAATAATATAATTTTATAGTCTCAAATTGAGTTTTTGGTTCAATTAGTATATCGATAAATTAATAATCTCTATAAATTAATAAAAACCCATAATTTGGTGTAATCCCAACATTATTAATTTATAGAGTTTCTAAAATTATAGTAACATATTAAATTTTTTTTATTAAACATTTAGACAAACAACAAAATATATCAAATATATTCAAAGTAGAAATCTTACCAAATTCTTAGAAAGAACTGAGTCAGGTTGGTTCCAGAGCTGAACAGACTTGAGCCATTCAGATTTCATGTTCTTGTCATGGGAATCTATGCCAATTTCATTAGATTCGTGTTCATCAGCCTCTTCTTCTTCCTCTTCCTCTTCCTCTTCTAAGGAGGTTGAAGAGTGTTTGATAGGTGTGAATAGATCCAAGATGGCCCCACATTCTCCCGTAGTCTGCTCAGAGCACTCCGATTGTCCGTACAAATTATCCGTTGTTGCCCCTGATATCTCCTTTTTATATGTCTCGATCGCTAAATTCACAAATCCATAGATAATTAAAATGATGCATATGTATATATATATAGAGATAGAGACCTCATACATATTTTAAGTCAAAGTAAATAGAAATATGATTTTTTTTTTTGTTAATATACATATTGAAAACAGCTAATACAAAACCCACAATTTTGAAATTAAAAAAAAAACTCTGAAAATGTACTTACTAGTTATACATGTACATATGTATATACATATATATCATATATGTAGCTAAGTAGATGCTATGTATATATAGATTTATACCTTGGGTGACAAGCTCTAAGCAAAGAGGAAGCTCGCGCTGGAAGACATTGATCTTGCGGCGTTCTTCTTCAAGAGCTTCGATGTACTCACAACATCTTGCGCGTTTCTCGTTATAGTTCTTCATATTGCCTAAGCTCTTTATCATGGTGAGATTAAAGATTAGTCTACCTTTTTTTATAGCTATGCAGTACTCTTTAAACAAAAAAGATGGGGGGTTGTGTCTCTTTATAAAGAGAACAAATATATGGCTCTATAGGGTTTCTCAAGGATCATTATCTTAAAAGAGAAGCCGAGCCGTCGCTTTGCAAGTCGAATCTTAGCTTTTGTTTATAAAATATGTAATATTCCTTGATCCCCCAGATATAATATAATATACAATTGACAGATACAAAGATCAGAATACGAAGGTGGTTGTTTTTTTTTTCTTAGACAACCAGAATACGAAGGTGGTCGTACGTGGTTGTCTTGTTTAGTAATATTACAGGGAGTGGTGAATATACGCCACTGTAGTTGCAAGTTTTTTTTCTAAGGAATTTTATAAAATCGTTAGGGTTTATTTAACCAAGGGTGTATACTTACAAATAGTAAAAATGTCTTTGTAGCTATATATGGATTATTAACGTCATGGATTATTTCATCAATCTTGAACCAAGACTATTTATTCATTATTTTTTGGTTTAAGACTATTTATTCATTTATGGTGGACATGACTACAAAGTTGGCCGATTAATCGGTGTTCACTTCGGAGATACTTTCGTTTCGTATTTTGCAAGATAGTTGTAAAGGTTTGAACTTAATTCGTATTTTATTTTTGAATAAGGAAAATATGAGCCAAGTTCAAACTTAGTTACAAGAGAAAAAAACTTAAGTTCTACTTATAGAAACTTAATTCCTATTTTCAAAAACTAATATATATGTAACTTTCATCAATAAATAAAGTTAGAATTAGAGGGACGTAAGAATAGAGATGGCAATTATGGATCTGGACCGCGGGCCTTGCCCGTAAAAAACTGTCGCGGGACGGTATTGGACGAGGTTTTCTAGGCCCGCAAATTTGCGAGCTTTGCGGGATGGGTTTTTGCGGGACTAGGTCTTTTGCACCAAAACGGGTCCCGCGGGATTACAAGGACCCGCAGTTTTTTTTCTTTATTTTTTGTTTTACCTGGAAAAAAACGAGAGAATGAGTGAGAAGAAAACGATTCATGTGACTTCCCTTGAGAGAACATAAGGAGCTCGGGCGATGATAATGATTTGAACTTCGGTGATAATGATTCGAGCTACGGTGATGACGACTACAGCTCCAACGATGACGATTTGAATTTTAGTAGTGTTTTAATTTGGTTTCTTTTTTATTTAATTTGGGATTGACATTTTTGTTTTAGTGTTTCATTTTATTTAATTTTTGGATTCAGCAAACTAAAACATTGGTTATGAACTTATGAGTTATAAAATAATGAAAAATATTTTCTGCAATTATTTTTACATTGTATGTTGATATGTTTTGGTTGTGACACAAATAATTACAATTATTGTTTTGAATAAAAAAAATAAGCAAATCAATGATCGATGAATTATGTTCAGTTGAATCGACGACTTGAACTATGTCCTAAAATGGCCTAAAGCGATTCGGAGGGGTATGAATCGTTCAGCTGCACATATTATCACATGTCCCGCGGAATGGTCCGCGAATGCCTACAAAAAATGCGGTACGGGATCGGGCCGCTGTTTTCAAGACCGCATCCCGCGCGGGACAGGCCCGCTGCATCCCGCTAGAAGATGAACCCGCAGCGGTCCAGGACGGGACCGGACGGGAGATCCCAATGGCCATCTCTACGTAAGAGCATGATTAACCCGGAGTTTTTAAGATGGAATTCTTAACAGAAATTAAGAAACTGATTCTTAATTTTTAACTAAGAACCAGTTTTTAAATAAGAACTTTAATAATCGGTTCTTAACTTTTTTAGTTAAAAGTTAAGAAACAATTTATTAACTTACGGTAAGAACTTCATCTTAAAAACTCCAGGTTAGTAATGGTCTAATATTTTCTCTTGTAAACCAGATAGGTCGAATAGAAGTATATTTCGTAATAACATTTACTCAACAAAACTTGATTGGTTAAAATATATGGCTGTTAACAGTCTTTTGATGTCAAATATATATATATATATATATATATATATATATGGTGGTTGACAAACAAATATGTGATACTACGCTATTGTTTGTTATATTAGAATTTCAATGTATAAATTGTGCTAATGGATTTTAATTGGAAGCAATGAAGTAATGAACTTTAAACATGGTAATATAAACCATTTGATCTGATATGAATATGTTATCCGATGTGGATATTGATGCATCGGTTGTGATATTTGGTTCCATCTAAGCCGGATCCCTAACTGCCTTTCAGTTGGATTCTATAAATTATACATTCTCTTATACTATTTTCACAAACAAACTCCGGTTATTGATGTAATTTGTATACACGTTTCTAAATTCAATACGTGGGCGAAAAAATCAAACGTGCATGACCTCTTTTGTTTTGTAAGCATTGATTTCACACAGACTAAATCCTTACAAAACGTTGACAATGTATTTTGTAGTAATCCAAAATGAAAAGCCAAATGTCTTTTCGTAGATGGTAGCCGAAACATGGGAGAAGAAAAATCCATACATACAAACTTTTTTCTTTATCAACAAAAGCTAATATATATTACTAGCATATTTCTAAGAAAACAATTAAATGTCATAGGACCTTTGACATTTTGTTAAATTCGTTAGAATCTTATCCAAATATACAAATATATTAATGTGTTTATCTGTATGTCCAGATACAATGCCAGTCCAGAGTGTATAATCTGGAGATTTGACTGTTAATTAAAATGGTCAATTACCACCAAGTAAACCAAATATGCGAATGTTTCTTTCCAACATAATGGCGAGCCAATGCCTTTTCCAACATAATATGCATTTATATGCTATGGTGTTTTTTCCTTATTTTCAAATTTAAATGAAGTTACAATATTATAATTAAGGGTTCTAATAGCTGTGTCAAAGAAAAATGGTCGTCTCTAGATATCGAGATCTGTGGTTGATGGGCTTATTTGTTTTGATCAGATTGTAACGTGTTCTTAATTAATAAATTAGTTGGCAAATGAAGTTTAGCGTTAGAGATGTCTATCATTAGTATTGGATTATAATTTGTCCCGTCGGAGTCTCAAAAGCCATATTCACCGTTATAATGGTTCAGATCAAACCGCCAACGACGAAACAACTCCATAATGCTAATCAGTCAGGCCAATCAGGCCCATATATACAGAGCCTTATGTATGCTTATAATTTGGGCTGTATTTATTTGAAAATTATTTCCCTTCAACAATTCTCCAATATTTTTATATTCCATTTCTAATCTCTTGAGAAAAGTTAAACTCTTGTGTGATATAGAACCTCTTTCTTTGGAACATATAACCCATGCCACCCACAAAGATTTAAGCATCGAATGGTGTAATGGAAAAAAGTACAATCTATTTGTACATGCATTTCTCACGTATTAAAATATATGTTCTAAAAATCGGCCGCCTAGCCATCTAGCCGGCCGCCTAGTCGATAGGCGATCTTCTTCCGTCTCGATTTATGCCAAATTTCTATTGAGAATCGGTCGTCCGATTTTAACCCGCCTAAACCGCCTAATCTATTTTTTTTAATAATATTTTCTATCTATTTATTTGTTTTAAAATTTAATAAATTAAAATTTTGATAAAATTATATCATATTAACTTTGTATATTCTATTTGTGTGTGTTTATAAGATTCTAAACATGAAAATGTATTAATGTTATACACAATTAAAGATTAATATATATTATAACATATCAAATAATCTAATAATTATATCCCGTATAATTCTCATTTAATCCCCGATTTTCTCTCTAGGCGTTAGGCCCAATTGAATTGTCCGACTGGCGCCTAACACATTCTCGAACATTGATTAAAATCATCATTCTGTTTTTTTTTAAATACATTTAGCAGAAAATCTGTATACACTTCAGTATTTTTAATTCTTTCTGGATAAATAGATTGATTGCATGCACGTCTCACTTATTATACATTTTGTGTTGTTCATATGAATTCTTCTTTCCGTAGCCAAAAACTGACTTTGTTACAAATAATTAATTTTAAATATATATCTATCTAATTTTATAAATAGAATATTTTTGTTCTATTTTACTTACCACTTTAATAATACAAAACTATCATTGTCTATTTATTTTTCAATATAGCAATCAATCGTGAAATGCTTTTGAAAACCCAGAGATTAGCCATATACACAGATTTTTATGCGTTGACTGGTAGGCAAATTAATATCGTTAAGTAAGCTGCTTTGAAGTTTCAAAATTTAACGCCAACCAAAATGTTCGAAAACCACAGACTGGCGTTAGTAGTAAACTAGTACTCCCTCTGTTTTAATATAAGTGTCACTCTACAGCTATGCACACGGATTAAGGAAACAATTAATTTTACATATTTCCTATATAAAAACACAATTACCCACACACCTAACCATATTTTAACCAATAGAAAAACAAATTACATAATAAAATTAATAAATTTTGCATTGAAAACCGAAAACGACACTTATTTTATGACACAGAAAATTCTCTACAATGACACTTAATATAAAACGGAGGGAGTAGCATTAAACATTTAACACTATCATAACTGCAACAAAACACAATAAAATGTGTTGTGTACCATTAAATTCATCACCAAAATTGTTTTAACATATCACCATTTTAACCAATAATATTCAATTTTAATTATTAATATGTTAATCACGTGGCTGGAATCAAAATTTTCCCATTTGATAAACAATACTGAGAGGTGCATAATAATTGAACAGAAAAAAAGAGAGGTGCATAATAAATACAAATTTACAAAACGTTTTACTTTATTAAAGTTCCGTGTTGAGTATGATATTTGTTGTAAATAGCAAAAGTCACATCTAAAATAAAGATATCATTCCACCAACACAACATTAACTAAACTCACACAACTCATCATAAGGTTCGATTACAAAACAAAATAAGTGTAATTTATTTTATAATAAAAAAAACAATTATTATAAGAAACACGAGAAAAACACAAAACTAATTAGTAAAGTTTTTAATGGTTGCCCCTGGCTCCGTCGCCTTAGCTTCCGGCGCCGGTTTCACATCCTTCGACGGCGTAACCGCCGCTCCGGTAAGCTCCAACGGCAAATCATCAGCAATACCCTTTAAGTAAAAAGTGTAAAACAGTTTTGTCGGATACACAAGCTGACGAAGCTTGACTTGTCCGTACGCACCTTCAAAGATCCCTGAGCCACCAGTGACGGTTAGCAACGTGTCTTCGTAAGTCAAGTACGGTCCTTGCACGGCCAAGTGGCCATAGTCACCGAAGTAGAAACTGTAAGTGGCTTCGAATCTGTCACCGTTCTTCTCAGGGACGTGTTGGATCAAGACGCAGAGACCGGCGGTGATTCCCACGCGCTTTTTGAGGTCTCCTGTGTAGAGTTTGTTGGTGAAGGGTACGAGGTCGCCGAGACAGAGCTCAGGTTTCTTGCCGAGTTTTAGAACTGCTGGGCTGTTTCTGTCTCCTTCGTTTAGTTCGTACACGTTAAGTTCTTGGACTTTACCTAAAAAACAAGATTCGATATTAAAAAAAAATGGTAAACAATTCTACGGAGAGACAATGTGAAAGTTCCGGTGGCCTTGTGGAAAGCAAATGTGGTGCGAATTCGAATTTGGGTCCCTTTAAAGATCCACAGAATGCCTTGACCACCCGACCACGGATCGTGATTAAGACTCATATTATTAATTGAGTAATTTTTTTTTCTTTAATTCTTTGGAAAAGTAGAAAAAGACAAAACAAAGGATCAGTTGACTTACTTGGTCGGGAGTTTTCAGACTTTCCCCAGTTCCAAAAGAAAGCTCGAGTAGGGGAGAGATACTTAGGAGTAGATCTTGATCGTGAGGAGAAATCTGGACCGTTAGATGAGATCCCAAGGTTTTGGAAAGATCTTGAGAAACCTAGAGAAGAGTTTCGATGAGATTGATGATTATGGGAGAGATTGTTGAGAGTAGTCATGGAGATTGATTGGAGAGACATCGCTGAAGAAGTAGCCATTTTGTTCAAAAAGACTTGTGACTTCTGTTTTTTCTTTGTTAAGACTTTGGTTTGATTGATTATGAGAGAAGAGAATGGGAGGATCTTGTTTATATAATAAGTGTGTTTAGTCTACGGATGTGTATGTGTATAAAACAACTATATAATGATGATGATGTTGGCACGTGCGTATATTTAGAAAGGTGGCCGGTTTCTAAATGAAAGATGGCTTTGTGAAATTTCGACTCGGTTTCCCATGGACGGTGTCAAAGCGTAAGCTAGAGAAATTGACTGAAAACGAGTTATTATGTAGAAGTGAGTACGAGATCTCCATGTAAGGGAAAGACACCAAAATAGGCAAAGGATATACATATTATATGACTACTGACCCGCGAGAAATATATAAATTAAATGAAACTATAAAAATTCAGTAATGAGTTATCAGATCTTTACTCAACTAAGAAAATATCCTTTTTATTGAACATCACCAGAAATGAAATACGGTGATGAATTTTTTGTATAAAAATTCAGTCAATATGACATATTTTTCTGGCAATCCGGATCGTCTCCGAAGACCCACCTAACACCAAAAAAACAAAACATATAAAATATTTCATGTTTCCACATGTTCACAGTTTATATGAATGTCAGCTTTTCAAAGTCTGTCGTGGGTCGTGTCATCTGACCACACTTGTATGGCAGATGTTTTGCGAAAATAGTGTAAATTATTTATCAAAAAACAAACAAACAAACTAAATTTATGAAAAAATTTCAGATCTGAAAGAACGCAAAACGTTGTTTGACTATGCGTATTTTGAATCATAGCCAGGTATGCGTTTTAAACGTGGTTCACAAAATATAATTAGCCGTAATTTATACTATTTTCTTTTGTTATGAATATTAACAAAGTGTGGAACTCGCTAGCTGTTGAACGCATCCCAGACGGCAGACAAACTCTTCCACATGATCAAGTCCACGTTCTCACATGTCAAAGAGATTGAGAATCCCGAATCTCCATAATCTTAGCTTGTCACCTTAGAGTTATTTATTCAAACTATTAATCTAATGACACGAGTACATTCCAACTAACTTCTTACATATGCGCACTATTACTTCCAGTTCTAAAATGATTTCACCTTCTCACACAAAAGTAACTTAAGAAGTCTTCTCTTTTGTTTTTTTGAAAGACAACTTTCATTCATAAATTTTCTTCAATACAATAGATAGAGAGAATTTTCCATCCTCTTAAACACCAAGCATAAGATACAAAACATAAATAAACTAAGTAAGATAAGTCTTCAATCGAAGATGACAACGGATTCGAGATGATGCTTGAATGCGTCGGGGCAGCATATAGCTGGAAAATAGTCACGTAGTGTGACGTTGAGGTCTAGGCCTCATCTACGAGAAACACCAAGGTGATCTCGATTGCATCTTCAGGTCCCGTAGAGACCGCTCCACAAGATAACAAAGCGATGAGAAAACTGAAACAAACACTCGGCCGTAAGACTTAGAAGACACCTCTTTCGATAAGAAGAGGGAAGGTGGTAAACAAACTGTTTCCATAGGAAGAGGTTTGTTTGGAACTGTTCCTGAGAACCAAAACACAGCAGTGGTGAGAGACTCCTCTCGACTCGTTGTTGGGAAGAAGCCATATGGGGAGAAGAGAACACTGGTAGATCTGAGACAAAGAGTCCTCGGCTTCTTCGTTGAGTCTGTTGGGATTTTTCTCCTTCGATAGCCTCGACGGTTGAGTAGCCTACTAGAACATGGGAGAGATGGAGAGATCTCCAGCAATACATGGATCCGGAATCCAAGGTGAAGATCCAAGATAACAGTAACGAAAAAACAGATTGCAAAATAGAAAGAGGGTGTTTGAGAGTAAACGGCGGAGCAGAGATCCCGACGCCGGCAGCCAGAGGCGTCACCGGCGCCGAGAAAGAAGGATGGCGGCTGTACCTCGATTCTCGGGTCTGGGAGCTTTCTAGGGCGAAATCTATTTTTTTATACAGCGAGCTTAAGTCTTCTTTTTCATCTCCCTATTCTTCAAGGTTGAGACAAGAAATCGACTCTGTGGTAGGGAAAACAAGGTTGATCCAAGAAACTGACCTACCAAAACTCCCTTACTTGCAAGCAGTCATCAAGGAGTCTCTAAGATTACACCCACCAGGTGCTATCTTTCCAAGGGAATTTCTACAAGGGTGTAAGATCAGAGGATTTTACATCCCTATGGGCACAACGCTTGTTATCAATGCTTATGCTATGATGAGAGCTTCTGATTAATGGAAAGATCCTGATGATTTTAGGCCAGATAGGTTTCTAGGGGAAGAGGAGGAGAGAAAGGATAAGGTACTGAACTTTATCCTGTTTGGTGCTGGAAGAAGAGGATGCCCTGGATCAAATATAGGTTATATCTTTATAGGAATGGTTATTGGGGTAATGGTTCAATGTTTTGACTGGGAATTTGAAGAAGAAAAGGTCAACATGGAATAGGCTACTGGTAGAGCTTTCTTGGCTTTGGCTCATCCTCTTAACTGCATTTCTCTTCCTCGTACCCTAAATCCTTTGCCCTCCAGTTTGTAGATTTCTCTATTTGTGAATTCCAGTTTCACTCTATTTCAAACAATATCTATGGCACTTGTTTTGATTTTTATTTTGATCAATAACAGTACACATTATGCAGCTTTGCATCTGTGTAATCATCACTAATAACATATCAACTACGCTAGCACGTACCACTGAATAGCCAATATATTAGATTGTAACTTCCTATTTCTTTATATTTAAAAAAAAAAATTATACAAAGACACAAGAAGCAAATAAGACTAGTTTTGTGAATTTAATTAGTAAAGTTACTAACAATAGATTGTAATTTTCTATTTATTTATTCTTTGAAAAAAAATATCATTATACAAAGACACAAACATGCAAATAATACTAATTTTATGAATTTAATTAGTAAAGTTACTAATAACTCCGCTAGGTTTCAATGCCTTAGCTTCCGGCGCAGGCTTCACGTCCTTCGACGGAGGAACAGGAACTCCGGTGAGCTCCGCCGGCAAATCACCAGCAAGACCCTTAAGATAAAAAGTGTAGAACAGTTTTGTCGGATACACGAGCTGTTGAAGCTTGACCTGTCCGTAGGCACCTTCAAAGATTCCAGTGCCACCAGTAATAGCGAGGAACGAGTCCTCGTAGGTCAGGTACGGTCCTTGTACGGACAGGTGACCATAGTCTCCGAAGTAGAAGCTGTAAGTAGCTTCGAACCGATCACCTTTCTTCTCAGGGACGTGTTGTATCACGACGCAGAGACCGGCGGTGATTCCCACGCGTTTCTTGAGGTCTGCGGTGTAGAGTTTGTTGGTGAATGGGACGAGGTCTCCGAGACCGAACGTTAGGCTCATTACGTTTTTGAGGATTTTTGGACTGTGTCGGTCTAGTTCGTTGAGCTCGTACACGCTTAGTTCTTGAACTTTACCTGAATCTTTTGTAAGAAGAGAATAAAAAAAAATCGTGAGCTTTGATAATAATAATAATAATAATAATAATAATAATAATAATAATAATAATAAGACAAAAAGCTGATCAGTTAACTTACTTGGTCTGGAATGTTGGGTGTCTCCAGAGTTCTTGGAGAGAGCTCGAGACATAGTGAGGTTCTTGGGAGTTGAATCTTGACCGTTAGATGAGATCCCAAGACTCTGGAAGGCTTTAGAGAAACCGAGAAGAGAGGTACGATGAGATTGTTGGTTATTACATGAGAGATTGTTGAGACTTGTCATAGAGATGGATTGGAGAGACATAGCATAAGAAGCCATTGAGATTTAATAAGAAAAAGACTTTAGTAACTTTGTAATTTAGAAGGCTTATATTATGAAGAAAGGATGAGTGAGTTGAGTTCTACGAATATCAAAGTGTGTGTATATATACATATCTGGATGATGAATGGAGATGAAGATACACGTGCGTAAATTCCAAAAGTGAGTCTTCTAGTCAACAATGATGATGATTGGGGAATATGGATTTGGTATCCATGGTCGGCACGTGGAAAATGGTTGGTCCAAGTTTTCGGATCTTGGATTGACTTATGGCCGGTCCCTAAATTACAATAGAGAAAAAATGGAAAACTTGCGACTTGTGTAGCTTTTACAATTCACTATTCTAACTACAGAATATATTATTTTTATAAACGATCCTTCTTCTTTGTCAGGTTCGGATGGACAATGAAACAAATGGACTTGAGCTATTATCTCACTCAGGCCACACCTTTTACAACCTGTGTGTAATCTTTAATTCACGCATCAGGAGATAATCAACACGGGTTGAGCCGGTGCCGGCCCGTAAGGTAAACACTTTTGTAGGCCTATAAGGTCGAGACTGTAGGTGACAATGAGCAAGTGGGCCAATGGAAGAAAAAGGTTTAGCAAGGGTCTAACCAGATATTGATGTGGGTACCAGGGATAAGAGCTAAGAGAACCGTCCATGGACCAAACTAGATGAAACATCGATCTTAATCCTCAAATTTTTAAAAAAGAATTATATGTATATAAATTCTCAAAAAAAAATTTTAGATCTCCATATTTCTAATAAAAAAAATTAGATAAAATCCTTAAAAATTCGTCTTACATCATTTTAATTCTCGGTATCGGCCTTGGAGTTAAGGAAAGCGTTGATGACTTTAATGAGTGGAGGCTAGCTGGAATTTCTGCTCTGGATAACAAACAGATGTTCTCAAATAATTGTTAAAGAGTGTCACAATGGAGATGAGGTGTCAGTCGTATGTTGCTCAGGGCGGTGATGGTATCTCCTTGGTGGATTGGAGGGTCATGCTCTGTTTTTTTCTTCCCTGTTTTTTTTTATTTCTCGAGCTTTGGTTTCTTAAACGATGATACTTGTAGTAGTTTGGTTGGTTTTCTTGGTCATAATACAATCTCTCAGTGGCAAAAAAAAGTCCATTACGCTCTTTTAAGTTTAAGCAAGAAAAAAGACAAAACATAATAGAATAAAATAAATTAAAAATGCAAGGAGAAAGCACAATGAATATAGTATAAATATGCATGCAGAAGTTCTCATCAAATACCAAAAATCAAACAAATACAAAAAAAGGGCAAGAAGAAAAGAGATATTGGTCATGGAAACTACTCCACAATGGATCATGATTGGAGGAGAAGGTCCTGAGAGTTACAACCAAAACTCCTCGTACCCGGTAATATAAATTCTTTTGAAACATTAGAAATTTCATATATGTACGTATGTATTTAACAAACTCCTCGTTCATCGTTCATGTAATTAACAGAGAGCTTTACTAGAAGCCTCAAAAGAAAAAATGAGCGAAGCTATTTCAACCAAACTCAACCTCGACTTGATTTCTGACCGCTTATGCGTCGCGGATTTCGGTTGTGCGAGTGGACCAAACACTTTCGTAGCAGTCCAAAACATAATAGAAGCAGTAGAAGACAAGTACCGCAACGAAACAGGACAAAACGCTGCGGATAACAACGTCGAGTTCCAAGTCCTTTTCAACGACTCGACCACCAATGATTTCAACACTCTCTTCCAGACGCTTCCACCGGGGAGAAACTACTATACCTCTGGTGTTCCTGGCTCTTTTTTCAACCGTGTTCTCCCTAAGCATAGTTTCCACATAGGAGTGTTCAATTACTCATTTCATTTCACTTCAAGAATCCCTAATGGGATCATGGAGCGTGACTCTCCTTTGTGGAACAGAGACATGCATTGCACTGGCTTCAACGAAGCGGTCAAGAAAGCGTATCTTGATCAGTACTCGGCCGACACAAATAATGTGTTGGACGCTAGAGCTGAGGAGCTCGTCCCAGGAGGGTTGTTGTTTCTTTCTGGGTCTGGTTTAAGAGATGGGGTTAAGATGTCTGAGACCGTTAAAGGAATTATGATGGATTTCATTGGAGCTTCTCTTAATGATCTTGCTCAACATGTATTATCTTGAACTATTGATCACCAAAACTATAATTATATAACTAGAGGTCATTAGAGTATGATTAAGGGGAGTTATTAAGAATTGAATTCTTAGCAGAATTAAGAAACTGTTTTTTAATTTTTAACTAAAAAATTTAAGAATCGGCTCAATGATATTTAAGAGCAATTTTTAGTTTTTTAGTTAAAAGTTAAGAATCGGTTTCTTAATTCTGCTAAGAACCTTATCTTTAAGAACTTCCCATTAATCATGCCCTTACCTCAACTGGAAAGATCTTGTACATTGTGTTAGAAGTCCCTAATTCGAGTGCCCGTTGAGACGAACTAATATTACATTTTGTGGTTTCGAATCGGGGAGACTAGGATAATTCGAAAGAAAAAGAAGACTACATTCTAAGTACCATAATCTAACGATATTTCATGATTTAAAACAGGGTGTCATCAACCAAGACAAGGTGGACTCTTTCAATATCCCACTATACTTTGCAGAAGAAAGTGAACTGAGGCAAATCATAGAGGAAAATGGGAAGTTCACAATCGAGGCTTTTGAGGAAATCATTCACGCAAATGGGGAGTTTCCGTTAGACCCTAAGATCTTGGCTGTCTCCTTTAGGTCTTTCTTTGGAGCTTTACTATCAGCACATTTTGGAGTGGATACTATGAGAAAAGTATTTGAACTCGTGGAGGTCAAGGCACGAGAAGAGTTTTCTCGCATCCAAAATGCCAAACCAGGACTGCAATACCTCATCGTCCTTAGCAAGAAATGATTAACCAAATATATTTAGTTCTATCTTTGATCTTATAGTGTGTGTTGTCTGTTGTTTTCAACCTAGACATCACTTGAAATGATGCTGCAACGGAGAAAAAGCTTGTAGTGTTTTGATTCTTGGAATAATTGTTCTGTTTCCAATTTAAAAACAGGAATGAATTACAGAGAGTTTAATTGTCTTTCCCCAAATAAACCAACAAATCCAAAGTATCTGGATTCGCTTGATTTTTAGATTTTGCAACACTCATATAACAACATTTCTGTTTTGTACAATCTGAAGATTCAAGAATGGTCGTTCCATTTCCATCTTCTTCCCGCCTCCTCAAGAACCTTAGCTCTTGCTTGGCTTGCCTTGGCTTCATCCTCTACCCAAGTTCTGTATTTTCATTCACAAGTTAAAAAAAGCTTTATCCAACTATCAAAATACTTTAAACAGTGTCTACTGAGTTATTTAGCTAATAGTAATCACTTTACCTGAGAATCCTAAGAGCTTCAACTTCAGCTTCAAGGATAGATCTTTTATCAAGCACAGATTCAAATTTGGACTGTAACTCACTCAGCATCTCTTGTAACTTGCTGTGCTCAACCATATAAACAGATTTATCAGTTGCCAACCTCTGAGACATCTCTTCAATATCTTCTCTCAAGCTGTTAACCAACTGTTTTTGACAATCTATGGCTGCTTTCTCTTTCAAACTCTCAGCAAACCACTTCAGCTGAGCAGCTTTTTCTTGTTCTAATTCACTAACTCTGGCGAGATACAGCTCTTCCATCTCAACTCCTCGTGGTCTCTCTACTTGAAGCTTCTCATCCCAAAGCTGCCTTATCTCTCCCTTTTCAAGCAACTTTGATTTGATTTCTTCCATCTCAGCTTTCTGTGAGAAGGACTCTGCTTCTAACCTTGATAGCTCTTCTGAAATAGCGTTAGCCATTTTACCACTCGTTAATGCTACAGCCGCTTGTGCTTTAGTAACAGGTCTATTAGGCTGAAACCGCTTGATTCTACCTGTAATAGCAAGTCTACAATCATGTCCCATATCAAAAAGAAGATAAAGAATGTCAGAATCAGAGAGATGGAATACCAAAAACGTTTCTGATTGTGCTCTTGTCTCCCATCAAAAAGTCCGAGTAGAAGCCGAGGGCCATCTCGGGGTTGAGATCCTTTGTATCTATATAATCTACCTTTGTCCTTGATATCTGGACTGCAAACAAGTCAGGTCTTTAAAGTATCTGATGAAGCAATCACCGTTAATGACACTAAAAATGTTGAAACTTTGTCACACCTCTTCCATAATTTCTGGATGGAAATCACACTCTAATTCAGCTTTCCAGTTAACCAAATCGAGCCGAGAAACAAAACTGCAGCCACCAGACCATACATGTTCAAACAATAGAAATCAGTTAAAGATGAAACAGATACAATAGCAGAGGAAGAAAGCTTAATCCCATTTTGTACTTTTCAGGATGAAAACTAATGTCATTTCCGGATAGCTTGCTGGAAGTAATGCCTGCCTCTGCCAAGGCTGAAAAGAAAATTAAAAAACAACTAAGAGCTGTGAATAGACTAGTAGACCGTAGAAGAAATGTCTATCTTGATTATACCTTGTATGTACTCGAAGTCAGGATCTGTAGTATTCACATCATCAAATGCAGGAACTGAAGAGCCAGCTAAAGCTACTCCTGGCGCAATCCTATGCTTTGGATTTCTAAAGGCCAAAAACATATTTTTATCAGTCCTTCACAACAAACATAGATAGTTTTATTACTCCAAGAAGTATCATAAATTACCTCTCTAGTAACGAATTTAAACGAACTAGCCATCTAGCATACTCTCGTCTGGTACACAACTCATCTGCCATCACATCATCTTCAATTATCTGAACAACATGTGAAATGTATAATCAACTTCACTGTATAATCTCATCAAACAGAGTCCAAGTTTCTGGAAAATAAACCTTTAGCTTCTTTAAAACAGCTATTGCTTCTTGTTGAGCAGCATCTACAGAAACCGGAGTGGAGATACGGTGAGCTTTCACAGTTGATACTAAATCAAAAACCGAAGATAAGACTTGTTAACGCAATTACAAGTATCTTCAAAAAAAAAAAAATTGACTAGAAAATAAGAACGTACAAGTGTCAACAGCATCTGAAACATAGTCAACGCCTTCATTGTCTTCTGAAACAGAAGCAGAAGTCATCTCAACACTCTCTCCATCCTCATTCTGATCCAAAACCACACTTGAAGAATGCAATGGTTTGCTAAAGCTTAACCTAAACCCTGTCAAAAACCCTGAATCTCAGATTAAACCATACTTTATGAGAACAAAGTAGCAGAGAAAAAAGGTTGAACCTTTTCTGGAGATTGAGAAGTAAGCAAGAGTAGCTAAGAGAAGAGCTAGTGATGATCCAACACCAGTGATTACAACTTTCCTCCACTCTAAACAAAACACAAACAAAATCAATTTCAATTTCAATTTCTCACTAAATTGGAAAAAAACTCAATTATGAGAAAAGATGCTAACTTTTTGCACTTTTCAACTGAGGAAGAGGAGGGTCGTCGTCAATAAGACTCCAGCCACCGTATTTGTCTTTGGAAGCTTGAGAGACCCATGAGTCACCGGAGAGAGAAGCGACGACGCGGAATCTCGGAGGTTTGACGAGCAATGGGAGGTTGAAACGGTGTCGTACAAGTAAAGGAGCGAACTTTGGGAAGATGAAGTGTGAATCTGGTGGGTTTTTAATCGAAAGAGAACACATTTCTCGTCTTTCAGTAACCTCAAATTAGGGTTTTGATTTTCTGGGTGGGATGGATGGTTCAGTTTGGAAGAAGCAGCTAGAGTAGAGAAGATGCTGCTGCTGTCATAGTACACCAACTAAACCTTCTGAATAGTTTGGAAGGTTTTGGTTTGCATTTATTTCCCAGTTTAAATTTAACCGCCTCGGTCGAAACCAAATCCGACCCGAAATCCAAACTAAGTAGCAAAATGCCCAAGTAGATATTAAATTCAAAGATATAAGAAATTCAAATCCGAATAGATATCCGAAGATAACCGAAATATATATAAATATATTATTCCTAATTTATTTATCTCATTTATTCAGAAATTTATATTAATGTTGTATATATCATATATTAAATATATAATTGTAGAAATAATTTGCTACTCATTTAAAATGAATGTTAAGTTTTTTATTTTATGTTTTAACACAAATTGTATCCAAATTTACAAATAATAGCCTAATTAAGGATTTTTTATTTTTAAATTTATTAATCGTCTAATTTATAAAACATTTAAAAATAGTTAAGTTAATAGTAAATTTTAAATACATTAAATTTGAGCAATGGAGAATTTTAATTTTTCCTTCCAAAATCTAAATATTCGAAATTAAATCTAAAATAACTGAATCCAAACTAAAAATAGGCAAACCCGACCTCAAATATAAAAATACCAACGGCTACTAAACCTTAATACCAAAATTCTTGAACCCGAACCGTACCCAACACCACCCCCGTTGAGTGTTGACTAGTGAATAGATAACATGATGGTTTATTACTCAATTTTACTGGGCTTTAGTGAATAAAGCCCGTTAATATTTGGCCCATTTATTAAATCTCCTGGTCTTCAGTTCTTGCGGAGTAGTCTTATCCTCTTCTTCCTCACTCTCTCCCCACTAAACCCAATCAGCCGCCGCAAGCCTTCGCCGCCGATACATATCCTCCGTCGTTACACACTAATCTGATGATTTAGTTGATCCAAATCAAACACTCTTTAACTCACAATGTTATCGACATTACAACCACCACGCTCCCTCACTCTCCTCCCCTTCCGACGACTCCACACCTCAAAAACAATCGCATCCCTCTCTTCTCCCTCCCCAACCCTCGACGCATCTCCCATCTCCCCTCCCCAATCCCAAATCCTCACAACCCGCCGCTCCCTCCTCTCCGGCGAAACCACAGCCTCCGAGATCGCCAAATCCTACCTCTCCCGCATCCGTCTCACCGAGCCTCAACTCAAATGCTTCCTCCACGTGTCGGAGAACGTTCTCAGAGAGGCTCAGGAGATAGACCGGAGAATCTCAAGAGGGGAGGAAGTGGGTCCTCTCGCCGGAGTTGTGATCGGTGTTAAGGATAATATTTGTACTGAAGGTATGCCTTCCACTGCTGCTTCTCGGATATTGGAGCATTATCGGCCGCCGTTTGATGCCACGGCGGTGAGGAAGGTTAAGGAGATGGGAGGGATTGTTGTTGGGAAGACGAATATGGATGAGTTTGGGATGGGGAGTACTACTGAAGCTTCTGCCTTTCAGGTTTGTGTAGGAGAAGAAAGGTTGAGTCTTTGTTGGTGGGTTAACTTGTGAATGAAGAAAGGTTAAGTATTTATTGATGGGTTAACTTGTGAATGAAGAAAGTTTAAGTCTTTATTGATGGGGTAACTTGTGATGGTTTAGGGATTTTATATTTTGGTTTTGGTTTTGGTTAAAGGTTAAGTCTTTATTGATGGGTTAACTTGTGAATGAAGAAAGTTTAAGTCTTTTTTGATGGGTAACTTGTGATGGTTTAGGGATTTTATATTAGGTTTTGGTTGTGGTTTTGGTTATGGTTTTGGTTAAAGGTTAAGTCTGTATTGATGGGTTAACTTGTGAATGAAGAAAGGTTAAGATCTTGATGGGTTAACTTGTGATGGTTTAGGGATTTTATATTTAGGTTTTGGTTTTGGTTAAGGTTAAGTCTTTATTGATGGGTTAACTTGTGAATGAAGAAAAGGTTAAGTCTTTCGTGATGGGTAACTTCTGATGGTTAAGGGTTTTGATCTTAGGGTTTGGTTTTTGTTTAAGGTGACTGCGAATCCGTGGGATTTGACACGTGTACCGGGAGGTTCATCAGGAGGGTCAGCAGCAGCTGTTGCGGCGAGACAGAGTATGGTGTCTCTTGGGAGTGATACTGGTGGGAGTGTGAGACAGCCAGCTTCGTTTTGTGGTGTTGTTGGACTTAAGCCAACTTATGGGCGTGTCTCTAGGTTTGGACTTATGGCTTATGCATCTTCGTTGGATGTGATTGGTTGTTTTGGGTCTACGGTTGCTGATGCTGGGATGCTTCTTCATGCTGTTTCTGGGTATGATAAGTTTGACTCCACGAGTAGCAAACAAGTAAGGGAGTTCTTGAGGTTTTGGCTTATTGTAGTGAAATGGAAGAAAGATGTTTTCTTTTGACTTAAAAAGTGTCTATGATTTGTTCAGGATGTGCCTGAGTTCGAATCACAGTTTCTTTCGGTGGATTCTTTTGAATCTGAACCATTAAAGGGATTGAGAGTTGGTCTGATTCGCGAGACGCTTGAAGAAGGTGTTGATTCTGGAGTGAGATCTGCAACTCAGGAAGCTGCTTCTCATTTAGAAGCATTGGGCTGTGTAGTGACAGAGGTTTTTCTCTAACTTTCTGTCGTTTGTGTGTGTTTTTGTGTATAAATACAATAAGATTGATGTCCCAAGTTCACAGGTCTCTCTTCCCTCGTTCTCTCTTGGACTACCAGCTTACTATGTGATTGCCTCATCTGAATCATCTTCCAATTTATCACGTTATGACGGGGTCAGGTAAGCACAGTGATATGACTTGATTCACAATTTTATATGGTCTATATATATAATAAAGATTGATTCTTGTGTTGGAAATGAAGATATGGGAATCAAGTTATGGCTGACGAGCTCAATAAGCTGTATGAATGTTCTCGTGGTCAGGGATTTGGTGGGGAGGTGCGGTTTCATAAACTGATTTTCAAATTCACTTCATCATTTTACTATAATTAAACCCAATTTTGTTTGTGTTTTGTAGGTGAAAATGAGAATTTTAATGGGAACATATGCACTCTCTGCGGGTTACTACGATGCATACTACAAGCGAGCTCAACAGGTAGCTAACCGGTAAATAGAAACTTGACCGGTTTGGATCAGTAACTAATATGTTTTCTTAAATGTTAATATAAGGTGAGAACACTAATTAGAAAAGACTTCAAAGCGGCATTAGATCAGAACGATATCCTTATCTCGCCAGCAGCTCCATCTGCTGCATACAAGATTGGTGAAAAGAAAGATGATCCATTGGCAATGTATGCTGGAGACATTATGACGGTATAAAATGTGTTTTGTCTCTCTCTTTAACCGGTTTTCATTACACAGAACATAACTTTGTGTCATATGAGTTTTGTTGGCAGGTTAATGTAAATCTTGCCGGGCTTCCTGCGATCGTATTGCCCTGTGGATTAGTTGAAGGAGGTCCCTCGGGTCTACCGGTTGGTCTTCAAATGATTGGTGCAGCCTTTGATGAGGTGTGTTGCATAAACTCTTTGCTTACTCTTCAAGATTAGCTTAAGAATAGTGTTTCTGGACTTGGGTTTTACTTTAAAATGATGATTGATTGAGTTTTTGTTATTGGATTTTTAGGAGAAATTGCTGAAAGTTGGTCATATATTTGAGCAGACTCTCAAAGGTTCAGGTTTTGTGCCTCCAACGTTACCAAATGTAGCCTAAACATGAAAGCGTGAAGGCTCTTTTTACTTATATGCTTTATTTAGGTAAAGCGAATTGATTTGTAATTTAATCTCTATTGTATTTTTGAATACAAATGTAGATGCTCAGTATATTATCTTGTTACATTTTATGTTATTGCAATTGCATTCATGCATTTGATTATTTTAGTCTTGTGAATCATTAGGTCAATATGGATGTACAGTATGTTGTATCTCTAATGTAGAGATTAGGGCTTCTTTATATTCCTTGTAATAGAAGGCATCTGTAATCCACCACAGACACGGAATCTTTTGTACAGAATTTTCGTGTATGTTTCATTTTGTTTAGATCCAGTTGTATTTTTCTGATTGTATTTATAATTGATGTTTTTGGCTAATTTTTTAATTATTTCATTGATTTATAATTGATTGATTAATAGTACAACAAAGTTCAACGGATGATTGTGGAAAAAAATTCTTTAATAAAAAAGACAATTTACGTCTTCGTTTTTTGTTTCCTTCACAATTAAAATTAGATTTATTTGTTTTCTATTTTTTGTGTTTTGTTTTAAGAACAGCGATGTGTACAATGTCGACTGTTCTGTACACTGGATCTAGATCATGCGAAGAGAAAAGTCAGCCAATTTTTTATCTTCCAGCTTCAGACAAAGACATGAAGAGAAGGATCATGCTAGGTTCGGAGAGATAATTGTTTATACAACGGTCCCATTTGTCTTTACGTGTTTGACAACACTTTTATTAGTAAACTATCTATTTAACTTTTGTTTTGTCAAACGATTTTCAATTATTTAATTGTTTCCACCATCATAGCTCATCGTGCAACATTGCAACTAGCTTTTTCTACTGACTACGTTTTATCTGGATTTAGAGCTATCATAGACTGTAATATCGTACTAATCAAAATCTCCTTTTCATGTTAATATGGCTTGAAATATGCATGTACTATTAAGTGACCATATTCGAAATGTGAAGGCATAATGTTAATAGAATTATTACATTGATATGTCTATTGGTATAAGGTTTGATGATTTATATAAAGGTAACTTATGTAAGTATTATGAGCTACTTGCGAGTCTAAAGTCTAAACTAATGTGAAAATTGAAAATTTAATATCAACCTATTACTTTTTCATCATGACTATTCTTTCACATCTCTCCAAAAGTCAATCTTGATAATAATTAACAACACCAGATAAATATTTAACTTTACACCAACTACATATCATATCTACTATAATTAAAAGGGCTTAATAAAGCCTTGGGAGCCTTCCACGTATGCAATTATATTCGTCCAATAGAATTAAGACGTTGTGACACGTCAGATGTTTATTCGCTGGGCCAGATGTTATTTTTGATGGGTTTGAATTGGTGTCTGGTGAAAACTCGTTTAATTGGGATACACTGTGACTCAACACCCATTATCTGAAGTGACGTCGTAACAACCCTAATCCCTTTCTCTTTCCCTTTCCCTTTGGAACATGAGTTCTGCCTCCAGACGGAACGATTGTCCTTTCCTCTCCCTCTTTCGCGTTTCTGATTTCTCTATTGTAAAAAGAGAGAAAAACACGCTCTTGAATCCATTTTGCATTGTTTAAACAATTATTTGTTGTTTCTTTAAATGATAATTGAAAAGGTGTGGGAGTGGAAGGAAGAGCATTGGTAGCACGATTCTAACACAACTACGACGTCTCGGAGCTTTCTTTTTATTGGTCTCGTGAGGTACCTTTGTTGAAAATTTGACAAATATTGAATTTATATGTTAATGGACCTCTTATCATCCAAATGAATCAAAGTATAGTCCTTTGAAATTCAGAGGTACGATCATGATCCAACTAATTCTTTTTTTTTGGTTAATAGGAAGGAAATTTCAGTGGAGCCAATCAAAATCTCACTGAAATCTCTATGTGTGCCTGTGCACACGAATCCAGGGATAGAGGTGATTAGATTTTTTTTTTTTTTTAACGTTTTTTATAATTGATTGCTTAAAAAGTCATTTTGATGAGATATGTTATTATCAAAGCAGACTTCTCATGTAGGTCTTGCGAAGGAAACATATTCTCCACGTTTTCAAGCCATCTTACGTGTCACATGTGAACGGAAGAAGAAGCCTCATGACATCAAGAGTTTCTCTCATGAACTCAACTC